CACTTATTAGCTGGAACAAGCTAGCGACATAATGGTTAAAGGCTCTGAACTAAAACTTTGGGGATTGCTGGTGTGAATTAGAACTGTACAATATATTGTTTGTTAATCATTATCGCAATATTGACTTTTGCAATAGTGATATTGCAGAAGACCGTAATATGGAAGTAAGCGTTTAAACCAATTACAAATCACAGTCCCAGGTGTGTCTCTGGCGTGTTTTGTTGAATCAGCAAATTCATGTAATCCATTAAAAGCAAACTGTTTAGGTCAAAACAATGCAGATCAGTCTTTAAAGGAATAATTTAGTGTTTGTAGCTGACCAGCCAAGACATGTTTGATGACTGAAGTTTGCTTCATTAATGTTGCACTGAAGCTATGAGGCTAGTGTAACAGAACCCAAGAAGCTTTTGGGTGATGTAAAGTCTAGGGCAAAACTAAAGAAGCAAATGTTTGATGTTTTGGCTTATCAGCTACATTTTGGCAGAACACTGTAAATTTTGAATTACTGTAGAGACTTATGTGAAGGATATAATTTATTAGACCTGGCTGGAGCTAGCTACAAACCCCATTTCTGGAAAAGTTGGGACATTGTAGAATGCAATAAGTTGTGAAATGCAATAAAAATGCAAAAAAGAGGAATCTGTGATTTTCCTTTAATTCTCCTGAACCTTTATTTAACTGACAAACGTACAAAGAAATGACCTTTAATGTTTTGGCTGGCCAACTTGATTTTATTTGAATTTGATGCCTGAAACACACTCAAAAACTTGGGATGGGGCAAAATCAGAGTAAAACGTTTATATAATATTCAAGTTATACTGTTTTGAAACATTCCACAGGAAACAGTGAACTGGTAACAGGTAAAGGCATCATGTTTGGGTATTAAAGGAGCATTCACCAAAGGCTCAGTCTGGGTCGTGGCTAATTACTTTGTGCCAAATGTCGTGAGAGAATCATCAAAGAGTTAAAAAAAGAACATCTCAACATGAGATTGCAAAGAATTTAGGTCTTTCACCATCTACCATACATAATTTTGTAAAAATGTTCAGGGAATCCAGAGAAGTCCAGAGAAACCACTGTTGAATATGCATGTCCTTTAAGCCCTCAGAAGGCATTACATTAGAAACTGTCATGCTACTGTGTTAAATATAGCCACATGGGCCTGGGAGTATTTTGAAAAACCGTTGTCACTTAACATAGTCTGCCACTGCATCCAGAACTGCAACTTGAAACTCTGTTATGCAAGGAGAAAGCCGTACATCAGTACTATGCAGAAACACTGCCGAGTTCTCTGGGCCCAAGCTCAACTCTGATGGTCCGAAAGACAGTGTTCTGTGGTCAGATGAGTCTATGTATCAGCTTATTTTTGGAAGAAAATGGACATTGACTTCTCCGTGCCAAAGACGAAAGGGACAGTCCAGACTTTTGTCATCGAAAAGCCAACATCTGTCATGGTATGGGGTGCATCAGTGCCCACAGCATGGGTGACCTGCATATCTGTGACATATGCTGCCATCAGCACAACATCTTTTCCTGGAATGTCCATGGTTATTTCAGCAAGACAATGCCAGGCCTCATTCTGCATGTGCTACGACAGACACCTAGTGCGTGTGCATAACTGGGCTGCTTGCAGTCCAGATCTGTCGTCAATTGAAAATGTATTGCGTACCATAAACAGGAGAATCAGACAGCGATGACCCCAGACTGTTGAGCACCTGAAGTCTTGTATTAAGCAAAAATGGCAATAATTCCACTTGGAAATCTGCAATAGTTAGTATGCTCAGTTCCCAAATAATCAAAAAGTGTATTTAAAGGAAAGGTGATATAACACAGTTTTTTTAATGTGTTGAGGGCATCAAATTCTAAATTTGTTTATATTTACAAAGTATATTTAAGTTGGTCAGTGAAAACATTGGAAATCTTTTCTTTGGACTTTTGTCAGTTAAATAAAGTTCATGAGAATTAACAAATCACAGATTTTTGCTTTTACTGCATTTTACGAAATGTCACAGCTTTTCCAGAAATGAGGTTTGTGCGTCTGTCTTCATGGAAACAAACAAGTAGACACACCATGTCAAAATTATTAAATGAATTATTAAACAAATGTAGAGAGAACATAGATTTATCTGCTACTGCTCCTTTACCAGCACAGTTACAGTGACGTGGTATATATAGTGCCTCAAATGACACTGCTTGACCTCCTTATTATTATTATTATTATTATTAGTAGTAGTAGTAGTAGTAGTAGTATGATCGAAACATAGTGAATTGACAGAACGTTGCTGGTAAAAGTTAAGCTTCCAGCAGACACTACAGGCAAGGCATTAATGCCACTTAGTACATAAAGTACATTTTAAAATGCTGTATCATCAGAGACAAATGCTATGAAGCCGATGGTGGTCCAGCAAAACTAAGTCTGTCTAGTCTTGTTGATTCACCTATGAATTTTTAATATATTGCAACTATATTGTATCTTTATCATCATAGTATCATTTTAATCAATCCATATCAAGCGCTCTAGTGTGAATCACAGGTGGTATATCAAGGTTTACTGACTTAGTAGTTGTTCTGTGTCTCTTCACATCCGCAATGCTTATAAAAACACTGCCAGAGCCTCAACTGTATTTTTAGAAAGCACAGCTGTTTAACAGAACTGGGGACAGAGTACAGCAGTATGAGATCAGTGAGCCTTCCTTTTTGTTTGTTTGTTTTTTCTTTGCCATTGACCAGTTGCTGATGAATGTGCTGTTGCACAGAGCTTTTGCTGTATTGCGGACGTCGCCTACTGTACTCTGCACCGCTCAGCTCTTTCTCGTACTCATTCCTCTCCTTAGCTCTGTTTTTCACACCTTCCCCACCCATCCTGCCCTCTTCTGACACCTTTCTTACCCTGTTTGCCCAGGACTCATGCTGCTTCCACTGTTTTCTCTCTCTTTCATTCCTTTTTTTCTTTTTTTATAAAGCTGTACTATAAGGCACGTCTTACCTTTTTTTTCTTGCCTCAGCTTTCCTTTCGATCTTTACTAAATGCTTTATTTGCTCTTTTTCTGTCAATGCTATGATTATTTCATCCTCTTTCCATTTCTAATACTTCTCCATAGCTCTCTACAGCCAACCTGTAAGCTGTCTCCTTTTTAGGTTATAAATCTCTGACTTCACAATAATTTGATTTTTAATTTTATTATGACTCTTTTGGAAAATAGCCAGTGCACCACGAAAACCTGAATTACACCACAATTCAGTTCAGAATCATTTAATATAGGCAGTAAAAACAACACCACAAGCATTATTTTTATGTTTAAAAGTAGACACAGTTGTCACCATTATTACACTTCTCCCTCTCTCATGCTGTTTGGCTCTCCGGGTTTTACAGTTGAAGGATGGGACGGCAATTCAGTGGTGCAATTCAGTGGCTGCCATAACGGAATTCATTATTCATTCGCCCTGCAGTCTGCACGAGAGTTACAGTTAGCCTAGATTAAAAGGAGGGGAGGGACTCCAGAGGAGGCTTCATAAGAGAGAGAGAGAGACCGAGAGAGCAGGCCCTGTGAGCTCTGGGATTGGACTTGGAGTTCAAAAATGCCCAAAAATGAGGTCCATGAGGAGAACACAAACACAAGGAAAGTAGAACCAGGTCCCTAAGGAGGAAAGATCGCAAGACTTCTGGACCAGTGAGGGATTTTACTGCAGGAGATAAATATATTGCTGCTAGTCTGTTATTCCAAAACTAACTTTTTTTGCTTATTACTATTTATCATTATTTTATTATTATTTTTATGCCATTTGAAAATGGCTATTGACCTATTCATTGTGTGAATGTTTAAAGGGTCACTCTGGCCAAAATGAATGAATGCTTCATCTGTTCTAAGCATGCTTATTTTCATATTACAGCAGTGCTATAGTAGTCTATAAAGCGATATTTCCTGGTTTAAAGACTAGAAAAACATGATGTATCTTGAAGGTAGAAAGACTACAAGTGCTTTGCAGTGAGTAGATGGGGGTGGGCTGTTTGGATGTTTTGTTGCTATCTGGCTAATTCTTCAGCTGAATTATTCCTTTAACAAAGAAAAATAATTGACGATCAATTGAGGTTGCGCTATATCACGAATGCTAGCCAGTACCACATGTATTTATTAGCCTCTAGGTAAGTGGCTAGCCATCAGGAACATCATGATGGTGTGTAATGTATTTGCATAATGCATGCTGGGAATTGTAGGGAGAGAACATTGACGGATGAAAACACACACACACACACACACACACACACACACACATACACATCTACTAAGCTGCTTATCCTTCTGGGTCGCGGGGGGATCCCAGCAGTCATTGGGTGGATAGGCTCGCAGGGCAGACAGACAGACTTGATGAAAACACAAAAAACAAAACTTGTGAATTCTTTCAAACCAATGAAGCTGAGGAGTGCAATGCTGCACAAAAATAATACAATATAACATAACATCATTAAATGCAAGTTTTAGGCCAGAATGCCTCTTTAATGACGAATGTAGCAATAGAAATGGTCCAGATTTGCTTGGAATTAATCATCATTGCATCAACATACATTAAAGTTAAGATTTTTTGCTTCTCCTTTAAAGTTCCCATTTCTGAGATATGAGGTCTTCTTGTTATTGTTGACAGCAACGATTTTCTGGTTAACATTTTGTAGAAGAAGTACAACCTTCAGAAAGAGCTCCATGCAGTAGATCATAGGACACGAAAGGGCCTGAAGGAGGAGACGCACATCTAGGTCACAGGGTGGAAACATTACTATTGATGTGCAAAGTGTTAAAAGAATGTTGCGTGTCTACACTCCTAGTGGCACCTTTTCGAGGAATGGTTAGAGCCATCACTACAGGACTTTTGAAACCCTGACCCAAAAAAATGACCACCTGTTACATCATTCTTTTCAGCACAGCTTGAGAACATGCTTTTTTGATGCACTGTACTTTCCAACCACACATACTTTTGTTTAAGATTTTTCATCCTCTGCCTTGCAGATCTCAAATCTTTTTGGTCCTGATGGTTGTAAAGGCCCTCCTCCGCTACCCCCCAGCCAATGCATGCAGGAAGGATGTGAGAGCCAGTCAGATTGAGGAATTTCTGTGTTTTGAAGTTTTTAAGGCACAAATCACTCCCAGGTAAGTGTAACTGTGTGCGTTTATAAGTGTAGCAGTCGGCAGCTGAGCAGTGAAGGCTAGAATTATTGACCTACCTTTAGAAATATGAATAAGAAAGACACTCTAATATAAACCTTGTAGATGATCAGAGATGTTGAATGTTTCTTTGTTTGGGGCCTACTTGTACTTTTTATTATAAAATATTTAGTCAGAATACACAAAACCATGTAGTTTCACAGTTTTTTTTATGTTTGATGTAAAAACTATAGTATATACCATCACTGTTGGGGAAGAAACTTCTCTATTTTTGTTGTTTTTCTACATAATTTGAAAATACCAGCTGCTTTTTACATTGTATTAAAATTTCATGATGACGGAAAAAAAATATTATACAAAATTTCTTTGAACATAATCTTGTAGCATTAATTTACATTAAACATTTTTCCTTCTCCTGAAAAGTTACCATTTTGGAGACAAGGATTTGCTCAGACAATGGCAATACTCATTATTTCTTTTTATTTATTTGTATTTAAGGGGTGGCAGTGATTCCAGAGTCCACTCAAGTTCAACAGGTTACGGATATACTTTAGACAGTACATTGCAAAAAGCCACTTTTCTGCAGATGCTGCAGTTGCGGATGTTCTTCTGATCTCTTTATTTGGAAGCTGCTGTGAGGTGAACTCTGCAGAGTCAGACCTTCAGGGAGGCCAAGCCACCACATTCAGTTTACAAACTGAAAGTCCTTTTTTTTTCCAGTTGTCAGAAATTGAATTGATGGAGAGTAAAGCGAGATATTGTGCCAATACAGTCAGCCTACTCTAACGAAGATGCACTTCTGTGCCATTTAGGTCAGCTACAAACTGCTTCATGCCATATAGGTCAGCTGAAATCTGCACCAAACCATTCAGTCTACCAAGCAAGTGATCATTCATCTATATGTGATTCGTAAGAAAACATACACAGCAAACTCTGAATTGAGATTCCAACCAGTCCACTGATACACAGTCAAAAACATGTCAAAAAGTGCATATAGGTTGAGAAATGCTCTGCCAGTATGAAGATGCTGTCTGTGCTAAGGTAGATGCAGTGCCAGATGATGCTGAGTTCTCAGGGGAGAGAGCTATGCAGCTATGCAGTATGGCTTAGCAGGTATAGAGTTTCTGGCGGTTGCAGTAAGAGACGGAAAATAGAAACAAAATGTGACACTGGTGCATTTAAAGTGATTTGAGGATAGCATTAAATAATAAAAGGAACGACTTAATATTATAAGGTCAGGCATTCTGTCTGCTATTACAATAATGCTGTGAAACAATTGTTTCATGTTTTAATCATATTTTAATTTATTTAGTAATATGGAGGTGGTAATATTAGGGAATTAGGGGTGGGAATCTCCAGGCACCTCACAGTTAGATTTAGATTCATGATGCTAAGATGCAATTATTAAATGGTTCACACTGCATTTCAGTGTATCTTGATTTTTGATTATTATTATGATTTTGCTCCTATTTTATCATTAATAAGTAGAGGTAACTAGGAAATCCAACACAAAGAAAAAATAATGGTTTTTCTGATGGTTTTAGCCTAGTCAGAGTCCAGATTTAAACCCTATAGAGAATATTTAGTCTCACACTAAACACAAACTAACTTGGCAGTGTTTTTCAGCTGTTTGATGCCATCAATGCTGAGTGTAAAAATATTGACTTTTATTGATTCTTTCTTTTTGATATTGATTCTTTCTGTAAAATATATATACACCCATCAGCCATAACATTAATTGCAATTATTTCTGCACTCATTGTCCATTCCATCAGCTCTGCTTACCTTATAGGTGTACTTTGTAGTTCTACAATTGCAGGCTGTAATCCATCTATTACTCTGCATATCTTGTTAGCCCCCTATTACCACCACAGCGCAGGTGTTATTTGAGTGGTGAATCATTTTCAGCACGGCAGTGACACTGACATGGTGGTGTTAGTATGTGATACACTGGCATGAGTGGATCAGACACAGCAGTGCTGCTGGAGTTTCCACTCACTGTGCACTCTATTAGAAACTCCTACCTTGTCAGTCCACCTTGTAGATGTAAAGTCAGAGACAATAGCTCATCTGCTGCTGCTCAGTTTGTGTTGGTCATCCTCTTGTCTTTCATCAGTGGTCACAGGACGCTGCCCACAGGACACTGTTGGCTGGATATTTTTGTTTGGTGGACTATTCTCAGTACAACTGTGACACGGAGGTGTTTAAAAACTCAGGTAGCACTGCTGTGTCTGATCCACTCGTACTAGCACAACACACACAAACACATCACTGCCACATCAGTGTTACTGCAGTGCTCAGAATGATCCATCACCCAAATAATACCTGCTCTGTGATGGTCCTGTAGAGGTCCTGACCATTGAAGAACAGGGTAAAAGGGGGCTAACAAAGTATACAGAGAAACAGATGGACTACAGTCTGTAATTGCAGAAATACAACGTGCACTTATATGGTAAGTGAAGCTGATAAAATGGACAATGAATTTAATTTTATGTTGATGTTGACAACTCCACCAAGAATCCTTGTATATCTGATACTTGCCAAACAAATTCTGGTTGATTCTGGGCTTTTATTATGAAAAATGAACTAAATTGTGACCAATTGGTGACTGAACGGTGAATTTGTGCAAACATATTCACCAATATTTAGTGAGATACTGTATTTTTTTCCTTCATGTCAGACTGTGCCAAAGTATCCTACTTTAAAATATCTTCCGGTGCACAGAAGTTTATTTAGCAGTAGGAGAAACGCAGGGCTCATGTAAAGATCTGATTATAACGTTTTGTGAAGTGATTCAGAATCTTTCAAAAGAGAATTAGACTTTTATTTTTCACCCCCCTAATTAACATAGACTGGATTAGAATGCTCTACAGTACAGTGTTTCAATACAGTACAGTTTCTATACTATAACATACAGCAACCATTCTGTTTTCTCAAAACCCTGTAATGGTAGCATTTTGCAAAAAATATATATTTCACTGTTCTCGTAGGACTTACTATGATCAAAATGCTTCCTAACTAAGAAGAATCATTTGACATACTTCAGATGTGCTATAAATTTTTACTCATATAAATATATAAGCAGAATATCTCACTGTTGTGTTGTGTTGTGTTGTGTTGTTTTTTAAATAAAGCATATCACTATAATTGCTCTGTAATCAGTTAAAGTTTTAGCATAATACTTTGGGATTTGGGGATACTCAATGATTGCTAAAAACACAGATAGAGATTGCTAGTGCTTTCTGGTGAAGTTAGTTATGTGAGTGGTTTGCTGAGTGTATTGCAGTGATTGCACACAGCAATGGAAAAGCTACAGAAGGACTGCGTGGAGCAGTAATAGAGTAATTTATTATTAGAGTGGATAACTTCACTGCTATTGAGACGCTTGAAGTTTGGGACAATGACTGTAGCAGCAGTGGGTGTAATAGAGTTTAGCTGTGATTGTAATGGATCAGAGGGCTCTATTGGTGAGGCTGCTGAGTGTGGGTGTGTGTCTGTCTGTCATGACTGCAGCAGAAGAAGAGAAAGCTCATGTATTAATGGATGAAGCATTTGGAGCCCTTCCTTTGAAATGTCACCTCAGACAACTTAATGAGTCCACAAGGACACTGGGGGTCTCAGCTGACTCAGCAAGATGCACACGAACACACACACTTACACGCATTCACACGTACCTACACGTGTACGCTCAGACAGGTCGTCAGAGATGTGGCACGCATTCAAAGATGTAGATATGTGCTACAGTTCAAAAGTGTTTGGTTACTAAACGGCAAATATATATATATATATATATATGTATGTATGTATGTATGTATGTATGTATATATGACATGAAAATGTGAGAGCATTTTTGTGAAGTTTTTTTGTTTTGTTTTTATTATCATTATTATCATTATTGTGATAAATATTTTGACTTCAGTGAATAATAATTCAAAAATATCTTTAAAAAACAACATTTGAAAAAAAATGAAAAAGAAAATTTAACATTATTTTCACAAGTTGAAATTTAGGGGTTAGTGTTTGGGGCAGACACCTCCCAGTAGAAAGTTCCCTTTAAATGATGATTTTGATTTAGCTTATTGTTTAATAGTTTGTTTGTTTATTTATTTATTTATTTATTTATTTACAGTTTGAACTAATTTGATGGAATGGTCTAAACAAGGGAGGATGGCTTTTTACACTGTAAGGAGCAAAATCACACTCTATCTGTCTCTCTCTCACACACACTCTCACACACAAACAAACACTGCCAAAGATGTGGATTCCTTCATTATGAAGTAGGATAGCAATCAGCAAGTGAGTGACAGCAGCTGCCTGTCTCAGATCCGCTCTATCCGGATCAGTCTGGATCAGCATGGGTGACGAAGTGGCGTCCTGTGGACTCTCTCAGGGAGTGCAGTTTAATCCTCTAATACTCACCCCCACACCCCCCCCACACACACACATACTCATCATACTCCATTTAATGGGTCTGAACTCAACCTAAGGTGTGTGTGTGTGTGTGTGTGTGTGTGCAATACAAAGATGTCTCTAATATGCGCTGAGGAAAAGGGTTTGTAAGGCTGTCTCTATGTGTGCAATCATGTGTTCATCTATATTGTGTGTTTTTCTTGCACTGACTGCTTCAGAGATGTGCTGTAGTGTGAATAAAGTGCTTCAGCAGCAGCAGAATTGAAGAGGGATTTGAGCGAAACTGCTGCTACTGTTTAAGGTTTTGTGCTCTGATTACAGACTGGATTAATCAAGTTTATCATACGTGCAGCAAAAGCTACAAGTGTTAGCTGGATAATCCCTGTAGACGTTTAGCAGGTCATTCAAAGTCCTCAAGGTTTCTGTTCTCTTTTCCTGCAATAATACAGGAATCATCAACATCAACAGCAATAATAAAAATAAAGGTGATGTTGATGATGATGATGATGATGATGATTACTATAAAATTAAACAATACGTACTTTGCAAAGGTCAGAGACCACCCATCATTCTTTAATGCCCAGTCAAAATGAGCCATTAAGTATTAAGTTATTCATTTTCAGGAGATATTTATGGGAATATTCGATATTAGATAATAAACTTGTGTACGGAAGAGGAAAACCAAAAGAAAAAAAGTTCCCAAAAAAGGAGTTCAAAAAATGTGATAAGTGATAGAGAAAATGGGACTAACAGCTGCGCAAGACCTGATAGACCACCAAAACTGTCACCATCATATAACCAGTACTCAAGCCCCACTCTTGCTTTAGATCTGAAAAAATCCACAGGTGTTTCTGTCCATCCTTCCGCTGTGAGAAGACAACTCAACACTATGGGTCTGAAACATGTAGCTGTCAACAAGCCCTTACTGAGAAAAGAATAGACAAAAAAAAAAAGTTTGCAAATCAAGCAAAGAAGCTGTTGGTGTTTTCAGAACAATGGACTGATCATCTCAAAGCCAAGACCTCAAACTAATTGAATGCAATCAACTTCTGGGACTAAACTTTAGAGGTGTGGAAAAATATCTCTGCAGATTTCTTTGAAAAACTAAATGCAAGTATTCTGAAAAGAATGAAAGCTGTAATAAAGGCAAAGTGTGGACACACTAAATACTGAAAAATGTTATAGCATATTTCGTAGTTCTGTGTCATTTTCTGTTAAATATGATTTCTGCTTTTTTCTTGATGCTGAAAAATTAATAACTTGTAGTTAGTGTCTGTTCAGACTTGAAATTAAATAAATAAAATGGGGTCTCTGACTTTTGCAATAACAACAGCAACAAAGATAAATCAAAAATAATCAAGGACAATCTACAGGAGTCAAATGGAGAACGGAAGTTTTGAGAAAATGTTTTAAGGTGGGCTTTGAAGGTGGGACTATGGAGAGTTCTGTACTTCAGGATGCTAGAAGATCTACCCTGAGAAAACCTGTAATGTAGGAGACTTTGTACATTCTTCTGAACAAACTGTTCAGACTGACACTTGAAAATGATGAAGCTGGATGCTGATGTCAGCTGCCATGACACTGACCAAACACGAAAGGAAGGAAGCTGTGTGGGTTTTTTTGAATAACCATGAATGAGCTCTTTCTTTCTGCTTTCCCTGCTGCTCTCTCTCTCGCTCCCTCTCTCCTTCTGTCTCTGTTTGCTTGAGGAGTTCTGGACAGGGCTGTTTGTTTTCCTTTATACTCATATACTCACTCTCTTTCTTTCATACTTCTCTCTTTCTCATACCTTCTTTTTTCTCATTTTCTCTCTTTCTTTCTTACCTCTCTTTCTCCTACTTTTCTTTTTCTCTTTTTCTTTCATACTTCTCTTTCTCACTTGGTCTCTCTCTTCCGTACTTCCCTCTTCTTCTTTGTTCTTTGAACTTCTTTGTTCTTCCTTCTCTTTTTCTCTCTGTCTTTCCTGTTTCTCTTTTTTCTCAATCTTTCATACCACCTTTCTCATAGCGCTCTCTCTCTCTCACTCTCTCTCTCTCTCTTTCCTTCTCTCTGTCCTGTTTCTCTCTTTTTTCTCAATCTTTCATACCACCTTTCTCATACCTCTCTCTCTCTCTCTCTCTCTCTCTCTCTCTCTCTCTCTCTCTCTCTCTCTCTCTCTCTCTCTCTCTGTGATTGAGTGCAGGTCTATAGATGGGGTGCAGTCTTATCGATCAGTTAGTTTCACTAGGACGTCCATTCATCATATTTAATCAGATCGATTGTTGCTCTACACCTTAAGCAGTGTCCACCCTGACCTGAGTACACAGGGCAAGGGTTAAAGAGGTACACACACACACATACACACACACACACATACACTTACAATGATAGTGGCTGTGTAGCTGCGGTTTGCAAGAGTGCTGAGCACATTTATCAGTGATGCGATTGAGGCTGTAACAGCCCCCCTGTGTCTCTACTCACTGCTGAGAATGTCTTATCACAGCACTGTGTGTGTGTGTGTGTGTGAGAGAGAGAGAGAGAGAGAGAGAGAGTGAGAGAGAGAGTGTGTGCGTGTGGCCTGTGTGTCCATTCTTACTGCTAAGACACCATTGACAACAATGCATGTGTAGGAAAATGTGTAAGTGTGTGTGTGTGTGTTTGTCACCTTAGGGTTGAATAGAAATATATGTGTGTGTGTGTGTGTGTCAGTCAGTACCCATGGTTGTGCATATATGTGTGTGTTCTTTTTCCTTGTAGTGCTGTATGTGTCTGTTCATGTCTGCAGTGATGTGTGTCGTCCTCTAAATGTCAGGTCTTGTCTCATCTCGTGACTGTGCCATTGCTATTTACATATATCAAGCCTTATATATGAGAGAGAGGAGGAGTTCTATATGTAATTGTAAGGGGGTGAATATTTTTCATCTTGTATATGATGTATTATGATATGTATTTTCTGTGACTATGCTGTCTAGTTTTGAGCTAATCCCTGAAGATGACTCTAGAAATGTACCAATATGACATCTGATATTTTTTACAGTATTGTACAAAAGATGAAAAAATATATATACTGTATTTTAACAGTTATTAATTGAGTTTAACTAAAGTGCTTATTTGCTCTGATGAACATTAATATAAGAAATGGAAATTAGAAATACAGATAACATTAATACAGTAAGTTGTGATGTATATGTTCATTTAACCATTTTCAGACCTCTCCTCAGGGCAGTCCTGTATTAACTGTATTTATTATTCGGTACCTGGATAGGCTTAGTTAAGCTTTCACTAAATCAAATCAGGTGTGCTGCTCATAGAATTTAACAAATCTGTGCAATGGCTGCAATGGCACTGTGGAGAAATCTGGACAGATCTTAGAATACTAAGATTAGAATACTAAGATTAGAGCGGTTTTGAGTTACAGTTTATTGTACAGCATACATTTCTCATCATCTCTCTCTCTCTCTGTCTCTCATTTTCTAGTTAGATGGAGGAGAGAGAAAGGAGCAGGAGTCGCTCCCCGCGTAGGGTCCGTCGAGTGGAGCAGGTTGTGGGGAGATGGCTGCGGCGCTCACGAGACTCCCTCAGCAGGTAGAATTCACACACGCATACACACAAACACACAGACACTTTGTTTCTGTGAATTGTGGGGACATTACATAGACGTCTATTAATTTCCTGGAGACTTACTCAAACCTTAACCAGAACTACTACCAGCCTAACCCTAATGCTAACCTTACTCTAATCTTAAAACATGTCTTCACCTTAATATTTCATGATTTACATTGAAAGGTCCCCACAGTGTGGCATTAGCCTGCTACACACATACACACAAACTGTTCTAGTAATTTCAGATAGTCTTGGATATTTAAACAGACAGTTTTCCAATCCAACATTTTCTTTAACCCTTTAAACCTGCCTGTAGTTCAGTTCCTCACAATCACTATATCACTAACACTTTAGCACATTACTACCTTACACATTAGATTTATAGTAGGTACTGAATAATAAGTCTTAAAGTTAGTAACTGAATACAAGCCTGAATGTTAAGGGGATTGAGTTTACAGACTAATCAGCCCTTTCGCTCATATCTTTTTCATTACATTTCACTCCACATTCATTTACACGTGCACGTTTCTTTATAAGTACAAGCACAGAAAGAAGGAAAATAAATCTGGCATGAACAGTTGACCCTGCTGTGTAAACAGAGCTGTAGAGTCCTGCTAAATTTATCTTTGCTTCTGTTTGCTGTTCTGTAGTACAAGGTGCTAATAATTTGTCAAATCTGTCTGCAACTATATATATTGTATTAGTTTTGTTTATGTTTGCAAATCAGTGGCGTTTATCATTCACTCTTAGGCAGTCACACAGCTTGCTGTATGCTCTGTGCTGGGTTCAGTGGGTTCTAGTGTGCAGTGACCCCCCTGCTGACAGAGCTGCATTCTGTGAAATGTGCATACACTACCTTACGTCATATGTCACACCTTTAGGGGCAAACACACTTGTTCGGTGGCTGGTCATTCACCTTATTGTTATATAATAACTCAGATAAGCCCACATGACCATAGTAAGTCCATGACCAGCACATTTTAATGTAGTCAAGAAGTGGGAATGGTGCGAGCTCATAATGAAAAGTGCATTGTACAAGATAATAGTAAAGCATTGTGCAAACTGTGTGCCTACATCAGCACACACTTGCCTCAAGCTGCACTGACTTGTGGGTGAAGAAATGGACAAAAGTTTTGACAAAATTCAGAAAATGACTGCTTCTTCTGTTTCACTGGGTCATTCTACCACTGTAGTAACAAATGGGGTATGAATATTAATAAATAAATCAATCAGCGTCTGTTATATTCAACATCCGCAAAGTTGTAACACCAATGACCATAACAAAGCTATTGAAATCTGAGCTTTTCTAAAATGTAGTCCACGGCTACCCCTGTACTTTCAAAGTCACATTGTATGTAGAAAATGACAGGTATTGCATTTGTGTTGTTATTTTATTGCAGTTTGAAAATCACTTAATGTTTCATGAGTAACACCACTGACCTGGTCTTTCTGCGGCACGTGAAGCTGTCAGCATTTTAGCCAAATTTATCAGATACAAAAAGAAATTTTTACTAACCATGGTCCTCCTAGAGTTGGGCCCTATCCCATGTCACCCCTTGCCCCTACCTCTTAGTCCTTAGCCCTCTGTTTTGCGCGTTCACGTCTAGTGTCCCACTTTTTGTTGAGATAGAGGGGTAGGGCGAAGTGTTAGGGCTACACGGCCCTCCAAACAGAGTTTTTTCAGAGGCTCACTCCAAACGGAGTGTTATGAAAAAAAAAAAAAGAAAAACCGGCAAGATGGCTGCGCGAGCGACCAAAGAAACCCACAAATGTATGTATTTTCTCCGTTAAAAAATTACGAGAACCACTGTATTATCTTAGTTTACTGTCGTTTCAATGTATTATGGTCGTTTTCTTCGTAAAAAGCATTAAAATATCGCTAATAGCATGCTAATGTCTCGGTAGCTAGCTAGCTAACGCTAACTTTCCCGTTCCACCTGCTGACTTCAGCTTCGTATCACCAAAGAATTAGAGGTGGGCGATAATAAATAATTGTCTTATACTCCCTCTTTGAAAGCATATGATGCCCTAAATGTAACTGAAACCCAGCAGCGAGGTTGCTGAACTTTTCCCTTCTCTGCTATCACTGAAGACTGGCAGTGTCGTCTAGTAGCCTGTTAATGAAGCAATGTTTGTTCATTCATTCATTCATTCATTCATTCATTTATTTATTTATTTGAGGGTTGTCCCATTTCTTATGGCAAGATTTCAACCACTACCCTTTGTAACTCAGTTCCAAGGGGTTAGGGTGACACTCGAAAACAAGGGGTAGGGGTAAGAAGAAGAAATGGGATTGGGCCTTAGTCTTTCTTCTTTTGAGGTTAGTAGCTTAAAAAAGCTTCCTGTTTTTTGATGACATTTTATGTTTCTGTAACACTACTAACTTCATTTTAATACATTTTTACTATATAAACTGAAAAACAAGCCACATAAAAATAATACTTAAATGTAAAGTCTGTTGTGAAATCCTGTTTTTCATGTATAATCATATAAAATAAAATAAAATAAAATAAAATAAAAAAAAGAATTACCATTGTTTCTGTTAGTTAATCTACATATATAGCATTCAAATAGAAATACACAGATGTCAACTTTTGTGGTTTATTCTTATTTTGAGCTCATTTTCATTGCTTCAGAGTTGTGGGACACCGTTAGACACCGCAGTGGCAGAACGACCTAATTAGGCATCTATCTATCTACTTTTGTTCAGTTTTATAGCTAATTGTATGACACACAGTATCAAAAATCACATAAACAAGTCTGTTTGATTTTACCTGACCACTTGACACGCTTTAAGACAAGAGATGATGATTTAGGTATACAGTCTGCTTAATGCTAATTTTCACACATAACCTTCCATTACTTGCAGTCTGGATTAGCCTTGCAGCTGTTTAGTGACCAAGACAAATGCCTTAGTGCTTTATAGGCCTGTGTTTGTGTGAGTGCTGCACTCTGTACATCTGTTCTGTTTTAAAGGGAGCGTATTTTGGGGGACAGGAAGTCGAGTCGCTCAGAGGACAGTGGTCAGCAGCATTTTCCAGTGAAGGAGACGGTGGAGGTGATCAGAGATGCTGTGCTGGACTCACATGGCTTCACCCTCTCCACACAGCTCCCCCTGCTGGTCAGGGATGTCACTCCAGGTACGAACCAAACTCTCAAGTTCAACAAACCCCTGTTGGTTGTGAGCACATATGCAGACGTCTTTCTTCCATGTTCAAAATTATGACTGGGTATTGCCATTGCTATTAGCTCCTTCTACAATAGTAAATATGTCACAATATTGTAGAGGTGTGACAATCCACATATTTTCAGCTTAGTGTGATTCTAAGATCAAGATTCAATTAAAATTTGGTAATGTGTTAAAAATACCTTGATCCAGCAGAGCTCTAATTACAGTGGTGTCCAAAAGTCGGAGACCTTGTTCTTCAGTGGAAGGAAAATCTGATATATCAGTGTGTGTGTGTGTGTGTGTGTGTGTATTTTAACTTGAAATAAACAACAGCAAGTTTTAGAATCTTAAAATATTTCAGACAAAGTAGTCATGACAATTAAAATAAAGAATAAATATTCAGATTTGTGCACTATTCCTAGGCCTCTCTATTTAAGCTGAAGCAAAATTGTGAAACTACTACAGACTTGATATTTTATATTTTAGCCTGATTATTTATTTATTTATTTATTTATTTGTAGTGCATGTTCAGACAACTCTCAGGTGGATTTTGCACAAACCTGTGGAGTCCATGCCAGCCTGAGTACATGGTGTAGCTAAAGCAAAAGCATCAAAAAAGTAATTTTGAAATTCATGTAAACATTCACTCAGATTGTTATGCTGATGCTATAATTTATAATGAAAAACACTGTATTAAATTAGAATGAAATGCAAAATAGAAACATTTTCACCAATGATCTCAGACTTTTGGACCCTGTATATATTACACTGTATATACTACACAGATGGGTTTGGCTGAGAAAAATGCAAATTGTATTAAAAACAAAATACTGCAAAGTAGCATGTCCTCGTGCAAAATAGTGATATTAGCACACAGTGTAACTGAGCTATGAACAATACCTAAATAGATGGGATACACCCAGATGTGAAGTTTTGATCAATGACTGTGGTTTTCACAAAAAAAACTAATGGAGCAAATTGAGTGAAGTAACACATACGGAGACTGAGGAGCATATCAGCAAGTTTTCAAGTTAACTTTTTTTGCAGTACCATATTGTAGAGTTGCACCAATCATGAATTTTTTTTTGGCCAATTCCTATTTTTTTTACAACCAAAGGCAGTTTTGGCTGATTTTTATTTGTTTTCTTTTCATTTTTTAATATCTGAAGCTCTAAGGGTCAAGTGAATATGTAAAATAACGCTGCAAAAAGCAAAATTTTGTAGTGCCATTTCATTTTTATGGTTCAAAAGCTACAATACATACAACACACAACACAATACAAAATTTGTGGATCCTAATGAAAAAGCTATAGAAGAAACCTTTAGTAGCCACTGCTGTCTGTAGGCGTTAAGTAAGTACTTCACCCCCCAGCCAACAGTGTCCCATGACCACTGGTGAAGGTCTAGAAGATGAATATATTCATGTTCTGGTACATGTAAGCCCTGCGTTCACACCATGAAAATAAATTTATTGAATAATTAAAAGAGAAATTTGCATTCTGATGAATTTAATTTTATCCACTCATATAGCTAAAACAAAGTGCACTGTTTTTTAAATGAAAAAAAATATTTTTAAGGTCAAATTTTCACAAATAATGCAATTATTTACAATTAATTATTTGAATTATTTAACAGCCTTAGAACACACAGATGAATAAATAAATGTTCATGGAAGGTATTGATGCAAAATCATTAGTAATAGAGTCTTGATTCAACAATTAATTGTAGTATTAGCACCAATCTAAACAATAGGTTCAACACTTATAAGTTCCTATCCTGCTGTCTCACCTTCACATAGACAGCACACCAAATGCTCCGTTTCACTGGATAATACGTATGTATCTATCATAAATTCCTGTGCCTCTCTGTGTGAAGCAGCCGGCTGTGCCACATCAAATCAGGTTCACCCCTTTCATTAGCAGGGTTACAGAGAGAGGAATGAAAGAGCGAGGGAAATAGAGCCTCTTTTTACTTACTGCTGTGACTCACTCTGCGTGTGAGAGAGAAACAGAAACACTGAAATTGGGAGCGTGTAATTCTCTTTTGCCCATGCGCGTTTTGTGTGTGTGTGTGTGTGTGTGTGTGTGTGTGTGTTGCCTGTCAAGTCCAGAACCAAAAGGATCTCAGTGGGCAGAGACAGAGCCACCTGCTCCTCTTTCATTTATTTAATTCTTTTAGATGCAGGTGCACTCACGCAATGCTGTGCATGCACACGCACTTTCCTGATTTCCTCCACTGCTGCATATTTGTCCTATTCAGTGCTTTTAGATCTTTAAACAAAATATAGTTTTATATTAAACAAAGAGCCTTATCAAAACAAAAATAAATGATCATTTCATTTTATGAGAACGATACTAATTGTCCTTTAGGCTGAGGCTGTTTCTGATCAGGGGTGGGGGTGTGATGACATGACACTTAACTAAACACCAAATTTGGTTTAAATGGCTTATATCATACCAAAACATACAATTCAGTCCTCCATCTGTACAGTCCATGTGTGAAAACTAAGCTGCAAAAACAGCTTTCTGAATTCATTGTTTCTGTGATGTCATGAAAACCAACACATTTACATACATACGCTTATTCAGCATACAGCAGTTCAGCCCCACCGATTTGCGCTGAAGTTATGAGGAGCGTTTCAGCCTGGACTGCTTTTGGAATAAGACACAGTGCAGAGCAGCCAATCAGAACAGAGCCCATTTACATATGTCAGTCTTAAAGGCAAATAACAAAATAGCCTGTTTATTTCTGAGGGGTAAAGAGAGGTTAGAAAATAGTTGTGTTAAAAAGTATTATTATTGTTTTTGGTACATAAAACCAAAATGGACCTAAATGGGCCTTAGGGGGTAAAATATATGAAAAGATATTGGCCTTTTAAATTGGTTTTGCAACCCTAACATTGCAAAAAGCTCATAATAAATAGGTTCAGTCTTACAGCCAAATGCTTATGCCTAATAAACCATTTTAAGTTGTATTTTCAAACACAAATGGCAACAAACTCATAAGTAGGCAGTTGGCATACTGTAAACTCACAAACGTGAAAAATCTAGCAACAAGATGCTAAAATATTTTAACGCAGAACAAAGTGTCATGGCTACATGGCTCTGCAGCTGGGTTTACTGTTGAGCATCAACGACATTTCGGCTTTCTGGCACAGAAGGTTGTTCATCTTCTTGATCAAGATATTTAAAACAGTGCTAAACAATCCTGCACAGCAGTACTAAATCTATTCGTGCAGGGTGTAGGGAGGTAGGCTTGCACAACTTATGCAAGAGTTGGAAAGCCTTTATTGCTCTGAGAGTAATTCAGTGCCTGTGTCCTCCGTCAAATGGCTGCCTCTGGTACTCACTTGAAATGCAATCAGATCGTTGCTTTCCCAGCATTCTGTATTTTCTTTGAGTATTTCAGTGTTTTAAATAGGCAGAAATAGGCACAACAGTATGTATTAATAAGCATATTTAGACACTATATTAAATTATTAATAAACACTTGAAAGGAAGAAGCTACAGAGCATAGCAAAGGCCCTAAACATCTTTGTAATGATATACAAGTGGAAAGTTCATGGAACCACAACTAATTATGCCTGGACAAGTGCACCACACAATTTCACAACAAGGTCTCAGACTAATGATAAGGAAGGAAGGAGAGAAGCCAGCACTCACTTGAAATTTTTTTTTTTTGGACGAACTGAGAGCAACAGTTACACTGAGAATAATAAGCAATGAACTTCACCACAATCATATCCGTTCCACGCTAAGCACAGTGAAGCTTGTCTACAATCATTTAGAAAAATCATAAGTCTTTTGTGACAATGTACTCTGGTCAGGGAAACCTAAAGTAGAATTCTTTAGTAGAGCAATAATTAGCTCATCATATTTGGAGAAGGAAGGGTTGCACATATAATCCCAAGAACATCATGCCCACAGTGATGTATGGTGGTGGGAGCATCATGTTATGGGGCTGCTCTTCTGCATTACATGTAATCAAAGGAAACCTGAAGCAGAGAATACTGGAGGACAATTTAATCTCATCTACCCAAAAAAAAATCTGTGGCGAAATAGTGTGTCTCAACTAGACAGTGACCCCAAACACACAGCCCACATAGCTCAAGAATGGTTTCTAAACCGTAGATGTCTCTGAGATGCATTTGCCAATAGGTTTTGCAACAAAGTACTAATGTTATAAATCTACTAATGTTATAAATCTTGTTTAAAAAATGAAGATGAAAAAATGTTTTTTGTTTATGCTTATAAAAACATACTTTTTTTTATTCATAATCCTAAGTACAAAGTCAAAAGATGTGTAAATTTGAAGAGGAAGTGTGATAGATATCAAAATAAAAAGTGTAAATATTTCTTTCTCCTCTGTATGTTCCTTCAGTTAAACAAGCTTTCACACTCCCTTGCACACACACGCTTTCTCACTGTCAGAGAAGCAGTGTGCTGACTTCTCTCTTTCTGCAGCAGAAACAGCTGATAAGAGCCCAGAGGGAGAACCTTACTGCCCTGCAGCCTGATAATTACAGGCTACTGCCAGAGAGAGAGAGGGAGAGAGAGGGAGAAAGAGAGAGAGAGAGAAATAGACTAAAGCAGAGATGGGGGGAAAAAGGGGGAGAAAGAGTAGAGAAGAGAGAGGGAGGATTGTGTGTGCTTGTTGCCATGTTAAAAAGGGGAGGAGAGAAAGAGAGCGAGAGAGAGTGTGTAATCTGGCAGAGAAAGGAGGTTGGCCTTGGCAGGGCAAAAAGACATCAGGGATGGAGGGAATGTTGTGAGGGCAGGAGGGCAGACTGTGCATGTGCATGTGTGTGTATGAGAGAGAGGAAGCGTGAGTGGCTACTCTTCTGGCCTGAGGACAAATTTGTCTAAAAGACTGCCCAGTACAGAGAGGACAGCAAGTCTGCAGGATTCTGTCCATTCTCTCAGCATGTGAACTAAAAAACAAATGTTACTTTGTTACATTACATGATTTCCAATATTCACATATTGTCACTGTCCAAAAAAAACCCTCTAAATAAAAAGCTCTATTTTTATTTTCCTCTATCATTTGAACACAGCAGTTATCAACATTGTGTACAAATTTCATGATGTAAGACGCAACAGAAATACACCAAAATTACTTGGAATAAAATCTCTGTATATTAACTTGCATTAAAAGCAACAAACATTTTGCCTCCTCCTGAAAAGTCACTATTTTGGAGATACCTTTTATTTGGACAGTGATGATATTCTTCAGCACCATACAATGGTAATGTAGCATTCTTAGACTGTGATTGAAAAAGCATCTGATTATACGCTCACCAATCACTTTATTAGCAACACTACATTAATACTGAGCAGGGCCTCTGTTTGCTCTCAAACCAGCCTCTATTCTTTGTGTCATAGATTCCACAAGATGCTGGAAACATTCCTTTGAGATTATGCTTCAAGTTGACATGATTGCATCTTGATTTTTCAGATGCATTTTCATGTGGCGAATATCTAGTTCTGCCACATCCCAAAGGTACTCCATTGGATTCAGTTATGGTGACTGAGAAGGCCACTGAAGAACACTGAACTCATTGTCATGTTCATGAAACCAGTTTGAGATAACTTTTTCTTTGTGACATGGTGCGTTATCATGCTGGATGTAGCCATTAGAAGATGGGTAAATTATGGCCTTGAAGGGATTCACTGGTCAGCAACAGTACTCAAGGCTGTGGCATTCATGCGATGATTGATTGATTGATTGATATTAACAGGCCTAAAGTGTGCCAGGAGAACATTCCCCACACCTGCAAGGCAAACTCTGACCCTACCATCTGTGCGCCTTAGCAGAAATCGAGATTCATCCGACCAGGCTACATTTTTCCAGTGTCCACCTGTCCAGTTTTGGTGAGCCTGTGCCCACTGCAGCCTCAGCTTTCTGTTCTTGGCTGACAGGAGTGGAACTCAAAATGGTCTTCTGCTGTTGTAGCCCATCCACCTCAAGGTTTGATGTGTTGTTTTCTGCTGACCACAGTTGTACAGAGTGGTTATCTGAGTTACCGTAGCCTTTCTGTCAGCTCCAGCCAGTGTGGCCACTCTCCGTCAACCTCTATCATAAACAAGGCATTTCTATCCACAGAACTGCCACTCACTGGATTTTTTTTCTTTATTGCACTATTTTGTGTAAAAGTCCCAAGAAATGAGCAGTTACATAAATACTCAAACCAGCTCATCATGATTGGCTGATTAGATAATTGCACGAATTAATAGGTTTACAGGTATTCCTAATGAAGTGTTCAGTGAGTGTATCAACTGTTTATTGACTGTCTTCCTGTAGTGACAACCGAAACTTAACCATCCAGTCAGTACATATGCTCACTTTTGTGTGTGTGTGTGTGTGTGTGTGTGTGTGTTTTGCAGGAGGACCAGCCGATGGTCGTCTCTTACCTGGTGACCAAGTGCTGAAAGTGAATAACAAAGCCATAGATGATCTGTCTCCGGAACATGTTGAGAACATGATCAGGTGAAATTTCTTTTTCTGCCTGTCCGTTTTTCTTTTACCAGCACATCCATTTGTGATGTACAGAGAAGCACCTGCAAGCATGCTAGCATTCTACAGGCATGCTAGTGCATCATTAGTGGGGCATCCAAAAACCATGGGTAGTGGGTTGGCAGTAGAGCATCCATGTGGTACAAATAGCAATATAAAGAACATAAAAGGTGAGAAATCTACAGTACCTCTGTACAGCAGTGGTCCTTGTTGTGTTTTCCAAGTGAGCCACACATTCAAGAGTGAATCAACAGGAGAGCCACATTCACAGCAAATCATTTCTACCAATTTAGGAAATCTGTCTGCTAATGTATCTTCCCACAACATACAGTGAATCCCTAAAATGCCAATACAAAGTAATGCATTCAGTGCATTCCTTCTGTGTTAATCGATCTGGCCTTTTGTACTGGGTGCAGAGCAAGTAGTGCCTCAGCATGCACAACTTAGATTTGCCGTTTGCCATTACATGTTCAAAATAGTAGGTTTAGTGGAGCATGATGATTGGTTGTTGTTTGATTGATTGAACTGACCCCCTAATACTGGGTCTGGTGTACTGCATACCATTTGAAACACTACAAGATGTACTACTTAAGGGAGATATGCACTCTATGCTTTTTGATACAATAATGGTATTTAAAGATGAAAATCACAATTCATGAGATAATTCTTTAAGCATGGGATCAGTTTTGTGGTGTTAAGAGGGCTTAATGTGCCTAGAAAGCATCAGAAATTTTAGACTATAGTCTTGGAATGCACAAGGTGCATCTAAAAATCAGTGGGAGTACAGCACTGTATGGGGCACAACTCATACCACCTACAAAAAGATGGTAATGGTAGCAACATTGAGAAAAGTGAAAGGCAAATCATTACCTCATAAATCCATTTTGTGGTGTTGTTTTTTTTTTTCTTCACACCATTATAAAAAACACCAGCTGCCCTTTATCTTGTGTGAATGTTTCATGATGAATGGACCAATAGAAATGAATTCAAATTACTTTGACTATTCTTGTTGCATTAATGTGCATTAAGGTTACAGATGTTTTCCTTTCCCTGTAAAGGCACCACTTCTGAGGTTTTGTTATGACAATGATGAAATGTGGCAAGACACACACACACACACACACACACACACACACACACACTGTAGTTCTATACAGAGGGGTGATGAGTGCATTTAGATCTGTGGAAAGGACATCAGTACAATAGTAAAGGGTTGGAAATATTGGTTAAAAGTGAAGAAATAGAAGCGCAGAGGAACAGCTATTTCTCAAGTGACTGAGTGTGTCAATGCAGGACGTGATGAGACTGTGGAAGCAGGAACAGTCCTTCCACAACTAAATAGAGGGGGACATTATAACAGGATTTCAGTGCTGAATCCCCTCATTAGAAATATAAATGCACATTTCAGTGTTCAGTGGTGTAAAAACATTGGCACTGGTCTACAGAGATGTGAAAAAAGTGATACAGTCCAATTGATACAGAAAAAAATGATAGTCTTATTACAATTAGAATAATTAACTTTGTTTGCATAGATGCTGTCAATTCATGTGCAAATACTCCATTAAAAGCAGTCAAACTGAACTGAAACGTAAGGTGGTGCTGATGGATTATTCAAGACAAATGCAATTATTTCATTGCATTGTAGGGTTTTCTTCAGAGAATCTTTATCAAAATGTCTGACATGTGGCACATGTAAACATGAATACTATCACATAGTCTTCCAGGATTTTTATTGCCATCATCATGTACACTGTGACATGCAGTAAAGACTGCTGGTGTTGCAGCGAGCTTTAGTCAGAGGTCAGAGATCACTGAGTAACATGTTCCCATAACCTCATATGCCTTGCCCCCAGGGAGTGCCAGGATTCTGTTACCATGACGATCCTCAGAAATATGCTGGTGAGTACATGCCTCATCATTTGCAGCTGTGCATCTAATAGAATGTGCTCTCAGACAGTAGATCATTCAACATGTCTCATGTTTCTGTGTTGCCTTTATTTATTCAGTGTGTTCGTATTGAGTGTGTGTGTGTGTGTGTGTGTGTGTGTGTGTGTGTGTGTGTGTGTGTGTACACATTTGTTAATGAATGTTTGATTTTCTCAGAACCCCAAGTCCTCGTTCATGAGTGCAGAAAAGAGAGCTCGCCTGAGAAGAAATCCGGTTAAAGTGCGCTTTGCTGAGGAGGTGGTCGTCAATGGACACACTCAGGTTCTGCCACACACAATGAATTCTAAACCACATCACTCCCCGGAATGTTATGTGTTCATAAGATGCACAAGCATGCATCAGATTTTTCATTATGTAGGTGCATAGAACTTTTTTTAAAATACATTGTTTCTGGTTCTAACAGCCAGCATGACTGAGCCACATTTGAATTCTGTCCAAGCTATTGCTGCTCAGGGAATACTAAATTGCTTGGTAAAATAATTTATAATTATTTATTATGTATTTTGTCATTGCTTCACAAGCCTGACAACACCCCTTAACCATAGTAAAATCCCTTGCTCATCATCTTAAGTGGCTTATTGCTTTATTAAAACACAAAGAATGCAGGAAATAATGTTCTGTAAAATCGCCACTGTAGCACCACTTGGTCCATTTTTCGCTGCATCTTCTGAATTATGAGATCATAATGAATTGAAATACCAACATTGCTACATGCAGGCTAACACACCTGAACATTGAATTGTCATCATAAAGCTGGCAACCTTGCCAAAAATTCCCTCTGCCAACCAAACTTAGATAAGTGTGGTAGTTAAATAACTGTATCCTATGGTTTGAGCAGCTGAATGCAGCATAATTTTAGTGCGCAGAAGCTTTCTGGCAGCATAGATGTAGCAATAACATTTCGACCTCTTAACATCCTGATTTTTCAGAGGATCAAAAAACATTTGAGAGAAAAAAATGTACACAAGACAAAACATACTGGCTTTGGAACTTTTTTTATTACCAAGGGGTGTGATTTTTCAAAACTTTCAGAAATGCCCTTTGATTTTTCCATTGAGAAAAATGAAGTTCCTTTTTTTGGCAGCGTAATTTTGTGCATACAAAATGATGCACAACCTCAGAGGTCTATTTACAAATTGCAAGCGGACTGAGAAAATGTTGGCAGGTCTCTGTTTAGTGTGGGTTAATAAAATTGCACTTTTGCCTAGTCATTTGCTCTGACCATTCACACGTCCTCCAGTGAGACAAAAGCAGCTATGAATAAGTTAAATAATGTTATAATTGTCTTACAATAGTCTAACATGTTGACTAGATCAGTGGTTCTTAAAGCAGTTCCCAGGGACCCCCCCAGATGTCTTGGGGTCCCTGGGGAACGCTTTAAGAACCACTAGGCTAGATTTAGGATGATGTCACTTGCCACTCATGCCTGTTGTGTGTCCACAGGGAAACTCTCTTCTCTTCCTGCCCAATGTGCTGAAGGTCTACCTGGAGAACGGGCAGACCAAAGCCTTCAAATTTGATAAGACCACCACCGTCAAGGTTCGATCTCAGCAGTTCTGCCCCTATTACTTATTCCTCTGCAACCCAATTATTTTTTATCATTTATTACTAGGAGATTTTACATTACTGCAGAAAGAAATAATATGGAAATTATGTTAGATGAAAAATTGTCTGTTCTCCCTCTTTGTTGTGTGTGTGTTTGTGTGTAGGACATAGTGCTGACTCTGAAAGAGAAGCTGTCGATTCACTCTATTGAGCATTTCTCGCTGGTGCTAGAACAGCAATATAGCATCACCAAACTCCTATTACTGCACGAAGATGAGCTTATACAGAAGGTAACACTCAATATCTCTATCTGTCTATGCACATACAACTCTATTACAGCTTTTTTTATCCTTGCGCACACTTGCACAGTTACTTTGCTGTAATCACTGATCGAAGAGCACCACGTTAGTGAGTTAAGCACAGGGTTAAAGGAATAGTTTGAAGAAAAATGACATGGTAAACAATTTCCCCATAGATGATCAGCCAAAACCTGTATGGTGTCTCAAGTTTGCTTTTTAAAATTTTCACTAGAGCTATGAGGCAATGTTTATAACAAGTGTATCTCAAAAAGACTTGCTTTTTTGCTTTTTTACTCTGTATGACAGTTATCTATATAAATGAACAAATGTGTGCTGCATAGCAATAAATGGTAGTAGATAAATGGATGGTCCATTTTTCAACGAATTATCACAAAGTACTTTTAATTGGGGAGTCTCTAATAAGTGTGCTTCTCCCTCAGGTGGTGCAGAAGAAGGACTCTCATGATTACAGATGTCTGTTCCGAGTGTGTTTCATCCCTAGGGACCCTGTGGATCTGCTACATGATGACCCAGTCGCCTTTGAATACCTCTTCCATCAGGTGCGTGTATGAAACTGTGTGGAGAGATATTACTCTTAATAAGTGTTAATAAGTTAAGTTGGCACAGTGATATATTGTAACACACACACACACTCTTGAATATGCATGAATGTGTGCTGCCTGTCATAAGTTTGCCTTGAAATTTTCAGTGATATTTGACTAATAGTCAGAGAAATGCCTACAAAGATTTTGTTACCTTTAAACAACCATTTATTGATATTTTACGTATCTCTTTTAGTGCTCAAAGCATCTTAGACATAATTTATGTGCAGATTTTTAAAAGGTATTCAAATACCCTAGATTTCATTTAAACATTGTGCAGCAACCTTGTGATATGTTTTTGCAGGTTATTGCAATTACAAATAAAACAGCTCCCAAGTTTTTGATGGGCATCGCAAGTGTGTGAAGAACAGGGGATAGTGTGATGTGATTTGAGATTTAACTCTGTGTGTGTGTGTAGAGTGTAGGTGATGTGCTGCAGGAGCGCTTTGCAGTAGAGATGAAGTGTAACACTGCTTTAAGGCTAGCAGCGCTGCATATGCATGAAAGAATGGCCAGCTGTGGGCAAACTACCAGAACATCTGTCAAAAGCATCACGTGAGTCATCTCACACACACACACACACACACACACACATACGCAAACAAATCATTAAAATCCCTTAAATTAAATTAAATTAAATATTATTTGACTAATAAAAAATGTGCATTTATGTATTTATGTCTTTATTTTCAGTAAGGAATTTGGCTTGGAGAGCTTTATTTCGCCTACATTACTGAGGAACATGAGAGAGAAAGACCTGAGAAAGGCCCTCACAGGTCACATGAAGAAGATCCAATCACTGCTGGAGCCTCGCCAGAAAGTATGTGTTTGTGTGTTGTGTATATGTAGTTATTTATTTGTTTATTTATGTAGCTTTTTTATAAGTGAAGAAAGCAAATAGGATAATAAAATGTCCAGCACTGAAAAGGAACAAAATGGCTTTCAGATGAACTATTTGACCTTGTTTTGAGAGAGCAGATGTTTCATAATAGAAAAATAAAAGAACGATTTTAGAACATCTGCAGTTTGCTTCTCTTAATGGCATTTGTCTTTTAAAAATGTGACATTGCGTCTCAGTTGTTATTTTTACAGTTGTTTCCTCTGGACATCCACTTTGTAATTCTTTGGCGATCCATTATCAGATGAATTTGGGGTATTAATTGCAGACGAACATAGTTCAAGAATACTCTTGTGTTATTTCCTTGATATAAAATCAGCAAATAGAAATCATAAAAATACTTTTTCTGTATACAGTTGATTGCAAAAGTTTAGGCACCCCTGGTCAAATTGTCAAACGTTTTCTTGTATTTCTGAGTGAAAATAAGTGCACAGTTTAATTCTGTTTACTTGCTTTATTTAACATATTAGGAAAAAATAAAACATAAAATGTGGCCTTTATATTTTATGCCCCCCCCCTCCAAAAAAAGGTTAAAATTAGCAAAACAAAAAAAAAGGAAATTGTGCACTAATTTTGCACAATTTGTTAAAAAAAAATGTGAATGTTGGATCAGTGTTAGTGTCTTTTATATTAATTAGAAACAGAGTTGTAAAATTCTGGTAAAAACACTTTTCCTTTTTTGTAACTTTGCAAAATATAAACTATGAACCAAACATAAACCAAATGTATAAAATTGGCCTGTTGATTAATCAGAAAAAAAGTATAAAGCAAAGTCATTGTTTAGGTTTGTAAAAAAATAAAAATAAAAAAATGAAAGAGCAAAAAGTGTAGGCGTTCCTGGTGCAGCCAAAGGCCGAAGCTGACCCTGGAGCACCCCATTGTGTGCTAGCCATGGCCCTCAGTGGGACTGGGTACAGCACACATAGTAGTAATTAATTTCAGTAATATAATACATAGTTCTGTAGAAAACCTCCATAACTAAGAAATAGACCAGTGTGTGTGTGTGTGTGTGTGTGTGTGTGTGTGTGAGCGTGTTTATATCTCTGTGTTATGGTACAGAAAACTTTTAATCGACTCTTTACATCATTCATTCTTACTATCTCACCCTTTTCCTGCCCCCTTCTGACCCCTCCCCCATCTCTTTCTCTTTCTCTCTCTCAGGTAATCTCTGTATCTCAGGCCAGGTTGGCTTATTTAACTCAGATGGCAGAGCTGATTTCATACAGTGGAAGAAGCTACAACGCCACCATGCTGGTGAGTGCGCCTTCTCCATCTGCTATTTTCCACTCAAAGAATAAACAAAATCTGCTGGCTTCAGCCTCTGATAATCTTAACCTCTCTGCTACCCTTCACGATTAAAGCATGTACTGTTTATTCCTTTTGTGACAAATCCCCTGACTGTGTATATGAGGGACAAGGACTGTCTAAATTATTTTAACCCTTCTTTTGAGAATCTGGTATAACACCATGTTTTACTTAGAGAAAATTCCATCGCTGTCACATCAAGACCTTTTTCAGTATTTAATACCATTTGAAAATGTTAGTTGCCCTTATATGTATATTAACATGCATCAAAGCCAAGAAAATCTTTTGTTTCTCCTATACAGTTATCATTTCAGACCAGCACTCACTGATCACTTTATTAGGTACACCTACCTTGTATATTCACTCATTGTCCTTTTTAGCAGGTCAGCTTACCATATATGTGCTTTTTGTAGTTCAACAATTACAGACTGTAGCCCATGTGTTTCTCTGCATCATTATTTAGCCCACATTACCATGTTCTTCAATAGTCAGGACCCCTACAGGGCTATCACAGAGGAGGTATTATTTGGGTGGTGGATCATTCTCAGTACTGCAGAGACACTGATGTGATGGTGGCGTTTTATTGAGTGTTGTGTTGGTACATGTATATCAGACACAGCAGTGTTGCTGGAGTTTTTAAACACTGTGTCCACTTATTGTCCACTCTACCTTGCTGGTCCACCTTGTAGATGTAAAGCAAGAGAAAGTAGCTGATCTGTTGTTGCACAGTTTGTGTTAGTCATCCTCTAGTTCTTCATCAGTGGTCAGTTCCTGTTCACAGGGCACTGTTGGCTGGATAATTTTGGTTGGTGAATTATTTTCAAATTAATAATATTAATAATAAATATTTTCAAATATTCTCAGTAAAGTGTTTCCAAAAAACTACAATAAACTGCTGTGTGACCCACTCAGTTCAGCACATACACACCATGTCAGTGTCGCTGCTGTGCTGATAATGATCCACCACCCAGTTAATACCTGCTCAGTAATGGACTGCAATCTGTAATTGTAGGAATACAAAATAGACCTGTATAGTAAGTGGACCTGATAAAATGGACGCGTGCAAATACAAGGTAGGTGTACCTAATTAAATGACCAGTGAGTGTATTGTGAACAAAGCTAATGATGAGTGTGTGAGTGTGCATATTTGTGCATATGTCTCAGCTGCAGGACCGGGAGTCATTGGTGAGTTTGTTGGTGGGAGCCCGGTATGGTGTCAGTCAGATCCTAAACCACAAGCTCAACATGATCTCCACCATCATAGACTTCCATTACATCACCCGCGTAGAGGTGCTCTCAGAGTCTGACAGAGTCAGCATGCTAAAGATCTACCTGCATGACATCCAGGTGAGTATACACACAGCTTGTTTCTTTACATACCAAAACAAACAAGAGCTAAAATTTAGAATATGTATACACACGCTTATATAACCACAGGCATGTGGGATTATCAATGTTTCTAATTCAGAAATTTAAAGGAATGCATCACAGCCACCATAGGCAGCCATTCATGTATCCTTTCAGGACACTTTTACATACATGTAGAGATGTTACACCTGTTTTTTTGTCTCTCTCTGTGCAGCCCCTGGCCTTACTAATGGATTCAGTAGCTGCTAAGGACTTGGCCTGTCTGCTGGCTGGCTACTGCAAATTGTTGGTGGACCCCAATATGAATGTGTTCCGCTGGGGTCCTCGCCCTAAAATACGCCGAATACCTTTGGACGAAGGTAAAGGATAAAGCAGTGATTTCTATAACATACTCTTTTTCTCAAGGGAGCTATATGCTACATTTGTATTTTTTTCCACTTTTATGATGTTTATGATTATGTTTATACAATTTTTTTATATGACCATTTTTCAACCTCTTTTTATCCCTTAGAATTAAACAGGCTGTTTTGTTACTGTGCCCTTGAGACTGATGTATTTAAATGACCTCTGTTCTGATTGGGTGCCCAGTGTTGTGCCTCATTTAAAAAGTAGTCCAGGCTGAAACACTCCTTATAACTTCAGCATGAATGGGCGGGACTAATCTACTATAGCCTCAATAGGCAGATGTATGGAAATGTGTTGGTTTTAGGGTCATCACAGAACAGCAAAATCAAAACAGGCAGTTTTTGCAGTTTAGTTTCCATATAAGGACTGTATGGACTGGGGAGTGAATGGTTTGTTTTAAACTGTTTTTCATGTTGTATTGTTTAAATATGTATAAGTAAGCATTTCACATGTACCTCTTAAATGATAATATAATAATGTATAATGCCATATTAAGCCTACTTGTCCTTTTTTAAACCTTAAACAGTGTCTGTATACTACATCAAACCTTCTATTTAAAAATAAATTGCGAAATTCAGTTTTCTATAATTGGGGCCTTTTAAGCTTTAACATCCTTTTGCTGTATTCATTAAAGGAATTTTAGTCTTAGATGCCTCACAGGTCACTGCGTTTTCACATGCCCTGTTTTATTTTTGTATGTTATTGATGCTTTAATTAATATGTACCCTAGGCTATGGTTTCCGCTGTGGCAGTGATTCAGAGGAGAGCTCAGAGGAAGATTACTCCATGGACAACCTCCTGGACACGCAACACTCCGAAGACACGGCATCAACTTACACAAACGATGGGAGAGAAGATGAGAAGGTTGAAGAGATTAAGCAAGAGGCCAGCTCAGAGACAGTAAGAGTGTATGTGACCCATGCAGAAGAAGAAGATAAAGCAGTAGAAGGTGGTCTAGACGGGATAAGTACAAGTGGTTCTGTTGAAGATGAGGACTATGCAGCAAGAGTAGATGCACTTCTGGAGACGGGGTGGTACACTGATCCAAGGGTTAATAGCAGCTTCTCTAGTCTGTCCAGTAACTCCCTCAATGCGCTGGAGGAGAGTAGCAGGACATCCACTACAGGGCCTGGTCATGTGGACAGTTTTCTGGAGGAGATGCCCAAATCAGATCAGGCTACTGGGACTAGTCTGGATGTGCACCATCCATACCTACTAGAGGTGCCTGAACAACAAAATCAGGAGGAGGATTTACAAAGCCCAATGCGACCTTCCGACCTTCCCTACTGTAGGCATCCAGGCTTGCTCTCCCAAATGGCTGACTACCTCCCCAGCCCACCCGAAGCCAGCGATGATGCACTTAGTGATGAGGATGAGGAGGTTAGAGATGAAAATGGAAATGATAGACTCATTCTAGGCATGTCTGCAGACTTAGAAGCTGTTTTGGCATCAGGTAGTAGCAACAGCATAAAAGCTACTGACGTCAATGTTCAGGCACTCTTAACGAGAATCCGTAGCCATCCAGCATGTAAGCTAGAATGGAAAAACCCTGGCCGTATGCATAGGGAGGGACTAAAATCAAAGGGACCATTGGCCAGAGTAAAACCACCACCTCCTCCTCCACCTCCAAGAACAGTGTCTGTAAGGGTCCCTGAAACATCAAAGGACTCCAGAGACAGTGCTACAGAATCAGAAGATGAATTTTTTGATGCCCAGGATCGTCTTACACCACCTATCTTGGAACATGCTGCAGGTTAGTGAGCTTTTGTAGTATGTTTGGACATTTATGTTTATGACAAAATCATTTCTTTTATGACAGAAAAGTTTTGGATGCTCCTCTTTAGCACATCTCAGAGGTTTTCAGTGGGATTTAGGTCAAGGGACTGGGATAGCCGTATAAAAAGCTTGATTCTGTAGTCACTGAAGCATTTGATTAAGTGTTTGTTGCCAGAAAACTATATTTTAGCCTCATTTAACCGTAGAGCCAGTTCCAGTTGCGTCTTTGTCAAACTGTAGTTTTGGAGACTTGGTGATACAAAAATGCTGCCATGTTTTGCATATCTCAAACGGTGATTCTTGGAGAAATTTTTGCCTCTCTAACTATTCTTTCTAACCATGGAGGGGGGAATAAACACCCCTTTAACAAGGGTGCCAATAATTATGGAGCTGACTTTATTGTAGTAATTGTAATTATCTATTTATTACTACATTTTGTTATATCTTTCATAGTTCTTATTTTCTCAAGTTTCTTTCTTAATCTCTTGCAGAGAAAGACACAAATGTGAGTAGCAAGGAGCATGGTCTGGGAGTGAATGATATCAAGATCAGTGTGGAGGAGACAGCAGCACATGGAGACATGCCGAACAGGGAGGACAAACAACACAATGCTTTACCCAGTAGAAACAACCTAAATACAAATCCTTCCCTCCTTAATCATATTAATCCTGAGACAACTGTTCTTGATAACCAAGAGCTGGAGGTTCATCAGCCTTCACTGACTCTGCTCTCTCAACGAACGCTGCTTGAGTCTAAGCCTGTTGTGGATAATCACATCTCAGAGCAGGGCCAACAGTGTAACGGAGACATTCCTGGCCGCAAAGCTCACCTGTCCTCTGAGCTTTTAGAGATGGAGCCAGACACTATGGAGTTTAAGCCTGTTTCTACAGCTGGACCACCACTATCTTCCCCCTTAATCAAGGCAGTGCGGCAAGCTAAATCTCAGCCACCAACCCCAGTGGATCCTGTACTTTTGAATGGATCCAAGCAGCAAAATCCAGTTTCCAATCATGCCCCAGTCTGTTGTCAACATATTAAAACTCTTGATACCCAAAGAGTCACAATGCCAACAAAGACTCCAGAGGATATGAAAGATAAAACAGAAAACCAATCACTGCCTTTTCCCCAAACCAAGACAGAAGAGAATAAGTTGTCATCTGTTTCTGCCAAACCTCCAGTACCTCCAAAACCCACATCTATTGTTTCTCAACAAACACCAGTTTCAAATATCGCACCTGCTCTAAAAACAGAAGGCAAAAACCAAGTACCTCCAAATGGGCTGTCCTTGCACCCCTGGTCCCAGCGTAACGGGGCCATCCCAGCCCCTATTCTAAGTAAGGGTGTTTCTCTGAGCCATGAGAATCTTAGAAGTGAGATAAAGACTGAGAACACGACTGTCAAGGGGACCAGTGCATCAACTACTCCAACCCCTACTTCCACCCCAGCTCCATCCCCATCTGTGGCCATCAGAGGGTCAATAAGCATGGATCCCAAAGATCCATTTGGGATCGGGATGAGCTTCCCTAACAGGACTTCTTCTGGACGCCTGTCTGCTTCAGCACTACGAGGGAAGATCCAAGACATGCCTTGGTATCTTACCCGATCCCAGGAAATTTTGGGTACAATAGCACTCAGCGGAGATAAATCAGCAGACGCTAAAGCATCAAAGGATGGAGGTGAGTGCAAAGAACCTAAGAAGGAATCACCAAAAGCTACTTCAGTACCTTCTTTGAATGACTGGAAAGAGAAAGACGCTGAAGTTGTTGTTGTGAAACTCAAAGACGGGCCGCAAGAAGCGACCTCACTTGTAAAAGAGACCAGTGGGAATACTCCATTGTCCGATCATTCAGAATGGCAGAATAGGTTGCAGGACTCTGTTGAATTCTTGTCGCACTTGGGAACATGCAATTCTGAACAACCCCAGTCTCAAAACAACAATGGTAAAAAGGATACTCTGGAAAGGCCCTCTCCTCCATCAAGCACCGGCACAACCCATCGAGATGCATGCGGCTGCCATACCGTTTATGCCAACTGTTTCAGCGGGGATGCAGAGGATGTATGTGGCTTTGATGATGACCTGACAGTGTACGAGTTCTCCCGTCAGAAACGGAGCATCAAGCCTCCCCAGACTTCCACTGCTCCTTCCTCCCTCTGCGCCTCTTCACCAAACATCCTCTCCCTGCTCAGAGATTCACCTCATCCCCTCTCGACCTCCTCAGAACTCAGTCCCCTCCTTACCCCGCCCCGGCCACTCGAACCTCGACCCCTGGGCCACGGCCCATTGGAGAATCCACTGCGGGACCTCCAGGGAAGACGGTACCTAACAGGCCCAAAAGGTACAGGGCTTAAAGGGGGCTATGTTTCTCTGCACAGAGACATAGACGAGCTTCTGCTGGTGCTTAAGAATGGAGAGACTGCAATAAATCCTCCATGCCACAAGGGGCACTGTGAAAAGGGCATGAACGGGCACTCCTTTTCAGAAACAGAGCGCTGCCTGGTGCAGGCTGAGGCACGGAGGCTGGCGTCAGGATGCCAGCGTGCAACACGTGTCGGCTGGGCCCCGGACGATGCCCTCCTCTCTCTAGGCAACAGCTTCGGAGCTCTGGTGCATCTGTCAGCAGCTTGCCTCCGAGTTTCCTGCTCAGACTGTGGAGGTTGCCATGGCGATATTGATGGAGCCGAGGCCCTGAGGAAGCTTCAAGAAATTGTGTGTCTGTACAAGGAGTTTGTGACGGCTGTGGAAACAGCACAAGAGGCGGAGGGCGTCAGGCTGTTGGCCAGACAGTGCACGGTTCTAATCTCCACAGTCTTTTCTCTTACACAGCTCTTCAGAACGCATACGCCAGACACAGACAATAGACACTTACCCTTGAACTTCTGAACTTTGGCGTGCTAAAACTGAACAGAGATTCAAAAACTCTTTGCATTTAAAGACTATGAATGTGTGCTGGCACACATGAAATGAACGTAAGTGCCGTAAACCACAGACAAATATACACACTACACACTAACAAGCAAATAAGTCTACCCAAAAGTTGAACTTCGATCCTCTAAAAGTGTTGGTCTTGCCAAGTCTCCTTATGAACTTACATGGGTTATGCATTTATTGATATATACAGTAGCTATTTTCTAACAATTCCTTATTTCTTCAAGTATGTACAGTATGTATTTGAGGACCTATTTATTTTTACATACTATGTGTGTGCACCGTGGATTCTAACCTATATCTATGTTTTTTGTTTTGGTCTATGTAAATTCCTACCTCTCTGTCCAGTAACCATGGAAACCTGAAAGAAAAGGACAGTATTAGGATGTCCCGTTTGTTTTTATTTTTATTTTGTTGTGCTGCTCTTCAGTGGTTTAGGCATGGTACTTGATTTAGAAGGACAAAGCAAAGCCGACTCTCCTCTTACCCTTCCTTCTGACCATATGTACGAATAATAGATGCTAGGAGAGATAAAGAAAACACTCGGTAACTTTTTGTGCGAAAGATGGACAAAAAATGGAATATGACAGTTGCTTGGTGGCAATAGAAATGTGATGGTTTAGAATTTTATATCTCTATGTCGGTGTGAACATTTGATGTTAGTTTTTATATTAGCCAGTTAGTTGACTGTTAATGGTAGCGATCCGTTTTATCCAAAGACATTACAGCACAAAAGAGGTGCTTTTTTTCATAATGAAGTCATCACCATTCACGTGTAACACTCTGACTAATTGAATAACACTAGTTTAACTACGGTATTTTCACTTGTGTTTATTTTATTACTATGCAAGTGTCACCGCTGAAGTTTTCCACATATCATTCTTTCCTATGTTGAGTATTTTATATATCCGATCAAAACTGTTTGAAACTGTTCTTGATCACTAATACTAATTTAGTTTTGATAAGAGGGCTTCCCGAAGAAACCTAAGCCTTATTCTTGATCTGGAAGGGTTTTTAAAAACTATCCTGGATCGAGGTCAAATTTCAGTAATTATGCAATTGAAACATGGATCCCAGTTTGCCTTCTGCTGATTAGAGGCAAAAAAAATGTTGCCAAGGATGTTCTTTTACTTCTGCTACCACATTGATAGTGTTCGACAGCCCCAAATTCAATCAGTACTTTATATTTGGTTGTATGAAGTCTGTTAACATTCATGGTATTAGAAGTCTGGCATCTTGAGAGCAGATGGTCATTGGGAGCATTCAGCATTTCAGCACTTCAGGTTGATATTGGACTTAAAGTGCTGTGCACAAGTAGGAGGCCACCCTTCGTTTATTTAATTTCCAGTTAAAATGGAAGTCAAAAGTTATTCATTTTAGGAGCTATATCTGAGAAGATTAGGTATAAGATAATCCAATATAATGAAGGGGGAAGTCAAAGGAAAATAACACAGGAATTTCCAAAACTTTAAAAGTTATTAAAAAGCATCAAGAAAATGAGACTCCTAACAACAATGCAAGATTTGGTAGACCACCAAAACTGTCACCAACTGTCAACATGAGACAAATAGTCCTTAAAGCTTTCATCTCTGAGAGGGGAGAAAATCAAGCTTCACTTTTGATTCAGATCTGAAAAAATCCACAGGTCTTTCTGTCCATCCTTCCACTGTGAGAAGACAACACTGTGGGTTCAAAAGGATGTGTAGCTGTCAAGAAGCCCTTACTGAAAAGGAAATAGAAAAAAAAAATCTGTAAACTAAACAAAGTAACTTCTGGTGTTCTCAGAACAATGAACTGACCACCTGAGAGTCCAGACCTCAACATCACTGAATGTGTTTGGGATTTATTGCATCATAAGAAGCATAAAATACAAGCAACTCCTAAGACTGAACTTTGGAGGTGTGGAAAAATATCCCTGCAGATTTCTTTAAAAAACAAAAAAGCAAGTCTCCAGAAAAAATGGAAGCTGTAATAGAGGCAAAGTGTGAACACTGAAAACTTCATTATTGATATTATATTTAGTTGCTTAGGCTGCTTTTTTTTCCTGACAACAAAAAATGAGTAATTTGTACTTAATGGACCTTTTGAGCTGAAACTGACTAAAGGAAGGGTGGTCTCTGATGTGCACAGTACTGCATATTGGGCAATGCTTGAGATTTGGATCTGTGTTAGAGGGCCTGCTTCTAGATCAGTGCAAAGAGGCCCTTGAGAGCTCTGAATGATGATGACCAGATAATGTGGCCTGCTCTTTAAGGCTCATTGATCTAGTATGACATGAACCATTTTCAGCACTTAACTGAGTTCACTACATTAGAGAAGAGCTTCCAGATGGCGACAGTACTGTCTCACACACACAGCCAAGACAGCATATCTAATAATCAAGTCAGATGTCGCAAAGTTGTGTTTGAGGCAACAGGTCATGAGAACAGAATGAAGAGATCGTGAAGAAGCAAGTTTTCTTATACATACTCAATCCTGAATTTGTGGTCAAGTGATCTGTTGATGTTTTATAATTTTGTAGCACGTCAGCACAAGTTACGACACTAATCTCTACACTGTCAGAGAAGTCTTTTATCCAACTACCTGAATGAGGACGAGCTTAAATGTCCTGTAGCTGTGGGTGATTCTTGGAATGAGATGCGTTATCTTAATTGTAGCAAATGAAGAGGAAATAAAAATGTGAATAGGTATAGCTTCTATTCAGAGTGCACAAAAAGCCAGAGTAGATTTGAAAAGTGAGAAATTGACTGAAATGTAAAGTAAGAAAAAAAATGAAGGGACAATCCTGTCATTTTGCATTCCTTCTACTATATCAACGATTAAAGGATGAATTTGAATGGAACCTGTTGTTGAACTGTTGTGTTTTTCCCAGCTTTAAACAAACATGCTTAAAAGCTTCTGGCCCACTGTTCAGTTCATCTCATCTGCTCTCCAGTGTTGCAGTATTCCTGTTTGTTCACATATTCAGGGACCCTTAAAATGACTTGTGCGCAAATTGGTTTTCATATCAACATAATAAATCATCACTCACATTTGTGTGCAAGCATATCTGCAGCGGGAGATTACAGACTAAGACTGGGATTAGATGCTGTTAAATTCCTTTGCAATTCAGACCAAGCAAGTGATTAGATTAAGGTGGATCTGTCTGTCTGCTAGCAGTCATATCCGGTCTCATCTGCTGTATTTCAGCAGCGAAAGGAAGGGTGAGCTTTAGGGCTCAGGTTTTCTTTGTAAAACTCCACTGTGGAACTACTGCAATTAAATATAGTGCAAATGATTTGGCAGAAAAACTGCTGTTCTTAAAACAGGCATTAAATACAGTTGTATGCAAAAGCTTATAGGCAAATTTCAATGTGCAATTTCTATTCATTTTTTATTTATTTGCTAAGTTTAACATATTTGGAAAAAAATAATAAAACACAAAATATAAAATGTACCATAACGTTTGCACAGGCCACATGTTATGTTTTTTTTTTTCCAATATATTAATTTCACAGAATAAACAGTAATTGTGCATTAAAATGTGCAGTGTTCCCTGTAAAGGATGTGCTCTTGTTTTAATTTAGAAAATCAACAAAATGTAATCTGACTTGATCTGAATTTGATTAAAAAATTGGGTTAAGCTTTGCCCTTCCTTCATTGTCCAGCCAGGTAAGTCATAAACAAGGAAATCCTTTTAGCAATAAACTAATAATAGAGTGACTAATCGTTTTCTCTGCAGCCTATGCTGGAAGACTAGCATTGCGCATTTAGTGCAGGAGTGGAGAACTGAGGGCCAGAGCCTGGGGCACAGTTTGGGGATTTCCTTGCTCTAGCACACCAACCAAACCTGGTAATTAACTGATGAGTTGAATCAGGTGTGCTTGAGCAGGAACATCACCAAATTGTGCAAGAATCCATCCTTTCAGGACTGGAGTTTCCCAGACATGATTAATGCCTTGGGCATGGCTTCATTTTTGCTGTACATACACAGTAAACACAAGCTACTGCGAATGTTTCTGGGGAACCGGAGAAACCAGAATTCCAGGTGTACACAAACACAGCATAGGGGCCAATAAAAAATAAACGAACAGATGCCAGAATATAGTAGAAGAAGTAATCCTGATAAAGCTTATATCCTGTGAGCAGCAGTTCATATTTTTATACACGGCTATTTATGTCTCCCACTGTATTTTCCACTGATGTCCTCCTTCTGCTGGCTACTGTACGCACTCTGGTGAAGCTGAAGGACTCCACAGAGGCACGACTTCAAGCTCGCAAGGCATTCAAGCTCAATAATTGAGCCCATTATGTCAGCAGAGGTTAGGCAGAGGGAGTTTAAAAGCGTGTCACTAGAGCCAAGGAGCTGTGTGGGAGAGAGTGGGAATGGATGCCTAAGTAGGTGTTCAGAAAATGGAGCAGGTTTCACAGACATCCATGTAAACATCTGGATTAATGAAGGCCTTTCCAAGATGCATTTGAAAGACAAAATCCAGAAAACAGTAAGAGTGTAACAGTACAAGTTGCAATACAGCATCCAAAAATGGATGTTTATAATAGCTATAGTTAATTTTGTCCTCTGAGGGTCTCTCCTGTGCTCTCTTGTGTGGAAAACACTGTCAATGACTAGGCATCCAGATGCATCCTACCAGAGTAAAGTGGGTGGGGCTTGTGCCATACACTCACCCATGTTCAATGACAGGGCTTTTTATCTGAAACTGCACAGAAATTGTAGGTGATTTTGGGGGTTTGTTATGTTAGAAGTCTGGCACGTCAAGCAAGGTTCTCTCATATGCTATCTTGTGTGGAAACCTCGATGATCAAAGCTAGGCATCTGTGTGTGTCCTATCAGAGTAAAGTGGGTGGGGATGTGGAAGGGACTTATGCCATTCATTAGGGGTTATTTTGTTAGAAGGCTGGCACGACAGGCATTGAAAAAGTTCTACTTGAGAACTTTTCTCTTGGCCAAATCAATCCATTTAATATATTAAATTAATTAAATTAAATTAATTAAAGCTCTATAGAATCAAGTTGCTTAACACATGAAATATCGAAAATCAAATCAAATCTTGTCCTGTAAATTAATAATCCTATGGAACCAAAAATACATGTATCGTTACACCCTACAAACACAGTGACACTAAAGCATTTTGAATAAACTGAAAGCAGAAAAACATTCAGACAAGAGTATAATAATAAGTCAGTGTAATTGTTCATTGTTTACTTTTCACTTACAATGTCAGGGAAGTTTCGCACTCATCACAACACACACATACAAAAAGAAAAAAAAACTTGGATTTTATCCAATTGACAAGCAATGACTTAAGAGGCTTTTTCATCTGATGGTCCTCCAGTGTGCCATAATCTGTTACACCACAATGTAAACTAAAGGCACAATAAGTACAATTTTCGCATTTTACTTGCAAGTTCCAAACTACTTAGTCTCTGCTAGTCACACAGCTAGTCACACTATGTAACCTGCACCACTTCCATACACCTCTTTAGAAAATGGACATATTTTCCCAGTTGTCAGACTTAAGATTTCACTTTCCACCACCATGTAGTATTCTCTACACTTCACAAGTAGATATATTTTTTTTCTTATTTATTCATAGCCAAAACTCAGTGTAGAAAGATTTTCTCCTATCGTCCTGTCAGTCCCATTAAGGTGGGATAAATCATTTGTAACTACTGGCCATGCCACCTAAGTGCTACGAGGTCAGGCTCCCAAGTGCCATGTGACCTCACAGATGTCGGATTGACTGACATGGTGACATAGAAAACTGGACACCTGTCCTTCTCTGCTCAGGGAGAATGCAGCCATCCACATTCTCTGGTATGGCTTAATGAGCATCCCAGCTACGTTCGTGTTTCTCCATAATTCATCAAATTGTAATGGAACATTTGATTTCTTGTTTCTTTCACAATGTCAAAATGAGCAGAGTGCTACAGAATGGACTGAATAATTGTCTGGTATGGTCCAGGCACCAATTTGTGCATTTTATTAAGGATCGATACAATTAACAATAGAAAATGGACTTCCTCTCCATAACTCAAAAACTGTGTTCAGCCTCGTAACATTAGTTCTTAATCCCCATTTAGGGGCCTCACAGACCACTTCTCAATACTCATAGCAGTAAGGACATAAAAAAGGGGTCAATACAGGTTTGCAGCACATTTTTTGCCAGGTATGAGTTGAACATTCAGGCAACACAACATGAACAGTTCTTTTATGATCTTTTATGAAGTGCAGTTCGACCTGTTCATGGATACAAAAGGAAACGGCAGTGTCCTAGATGTCAAACAAAGACTGTGCTGTGGTAAAGAACACAAGATTCTCAGCTCGGGCTGAGGGGGTATTCCAGAAAGCAGGATTTGTCAGTTAACCAGACAAGTAAAGCCCAAATATCAAGCCTGTCCAATACAAGGAGATTCCTATTGGACAATCTTCACTTTTGGTTTATTCATCCATCTTACTGACAAATCCAGGAGGACATTTCACAATGCAGGTTTTCTCAATAAAGCTGGATCGCTTAAGCCCAAAACAGGGACTGACAATTAAGAACTTCTCCTATTGGACTTTGGGCTTAAGTAGCTAACTGAGAAATCCTGCTTTGTGAAATATCCTCTTGCTCTGTGAAACACCCACTTAGATGGCAAACATCCTCAAGTCCGCTCACTCGTCTGTCCAACCCTCCATCCCTCCTCAGACAACTTTGAGCAGGAGTTCGTAAGTGGCGTTGATGATGCCCCATGAGAGCAGTGAGCGGTGGTAGTTGAGCGTGGCTCCACGGAACAACAAGGCCACGCTCCCACCTCTTTCCCTCCACACGGTGGCCAGAACCCGCAAACAGGGCACAAACTCACCGCCCACCTGCGCCTGCGCTCGCGACTTCACCACATTCAGTGGGTAAAACATGATGCCCAGCGCTGCACCCAGTAGCCCACCACATACAAAGTCGTTGAGCAGGTGGCCCGTCTTGGTGTGGGCGTCGGGCAGACGCTGCTTGATGGGCCCACGCAGACCGAAGAAGAGCACATTGCTGGGTCCATTGCGCAGCAGCACAGGTACCAGACCACGATAACATTCTTTCACCCCGTAGTCGCGGAGCAGAGTCCGGAAGGCGTGGGCCGTGTTTTGGAAGCGCCCATTGTGACGGTGGTCCTGCAGCAGCGTCTGCACCCTCTCGAACGGTGTCAAAGCGGCCTCAGCCGTGCCAGCCAGAGCAGCTGCCACGCTGCGGGTCAGCAGCTCAGGCGCACCACTGGCACGTGCATGCCGCAGGAGCAGGCGGGAGAAGTCCTCATACAGGCCAAACATGATGGCCACTGTGGTGGTCTTCTGCAACAGCGGAGGCAGGAGGCCGCGATACAAGTTGCGTAAGCCCTCGCGCTGGAGCTGCCGCACAGCCTCTGTAGCCCGCACGCCATGCAGCTGCTGCCGAAAGAGCACCTTCTGGATGGGGAACGTGATGATGATGTTAGTGAAGGCGGCCACAGAGCCACATACATAGTGTTTCCCTCGAGGCCCAAGCCCGGTCCCTCGACCAGCCGCAAAGACAGGCCCGCTGTTACTCAGCTTGCCTTGCGCCGGGACCTGGGGTTGGCGGGCTGATTCGGGGTCCATGGTGGTGACCACCCCCATGGGAAATTAGGCATGCAGCTTGCTGGTGCAGTGGAATTCCACATCCATATGAATGTCCTTCAATTGTATTTTAACCTGTATGTGAAGAAATTTTAAGACCTACGTTAAATAATTATCATAATTTCAGTAATTAAGTAATCATCAGCGTTTCAGTGCCTTGGACAAACATGACTAGCTTGTGGCTAATAAATAACATGGCAGCTAGAAGTCTGCAAGCATGGCATAATGAAGATGGCATTTAGAACATAACTGGGTTTTTAAAATCTGGAACTAATCAAAGATTAACCCAACATCTCAATTCAGCAACTTTTTGTTCATAGATGCCATATCTAGGCATAAGTTTTTTTCTTTTTTATGCAAAGGCTAATGCTTGTTTCAACTCCAGTGATAAGACTTGTTACATAACTACAGGGCCAGTGCACAGTCCAAGACTTGGACAGTAGGTCCGACGATTAAATGACATCACAGGGCTGTGCTTAAATATTTGTAGCCTAGTTGGCAAAGAAGATTCAATGCAGTTAGAAGCACTACAATAATAACCCATCAAATAAGTTGACCTGGACTTATATGAGATGTAAGCCATAGATTTGCCTTATGTAAGATAACTAGCTGCTAACTTAATAAGCCAGCACATTAAGTTAATTCAACTTACATAAGCTACACCTGACAGCTTGTCTACCGGTGGGCAGACATATATCACAATACTTAAAGAAGAATATCAAAAACTAGGAAAGCAATGATTCACATGTAACATTTCACATACTATGTCACACTAAATCCAATTAAATCTCCACTTAATCAAATAAGCAGTTGGGAAGTGTTTTAAGTACTGATCATATCCATGATACACACAGAAAAGCATACTGTGACCTACTGTAATGTAATTTATCACAATAACAATAAACACTGTCATATTGCTCAGCTCTAAGCCTGTCAACACCGATCTTTTACAGCGTACATGAGAGATATATTTGCCAGAAACCTGGTGGGTCTGACCAGGGATCGTGAGTGGTCATGAATGGGCTAGTAGATCTTTTTTCTCTCATGAGGAAACAACCTGCTCTCAAATGAGACTTCAAGCACAACATTAGAAGTAAAATCTCAGCACAGACATTTGACCACTTCCTGCTGTCTGCAGTTCCCATAACATGAGCTAACTATGTTTCTAAGCCATTATCAGCCTGGCAAACTAAGTTTGCACCAATAAACAGCTTTGAAGCACGAAGGAGATGTTCTTTTGGATAAACTGTCTACGTATTGTTCGGTTAGTACGCATTACTTTCTAGAAGAATATATGAATGAAGATTTACAGAGGAACACGCCCACATTCACGCTCTACGCTTTGAGATCGGTATTAAGCCTCTCAAATGCGGCTGGTTAAAAAGTGAGCCTTTATTCTTTTCTGCCGCGTCAAAGATAAAAACTCCCAGATCATTGTAAGGTATAGTTTAGATGGGCAGTGCCTATCCTAGCCTGTACGACTGATAACTCCAACAATAATGATCGCGTCATGCACAACCAGGCGTTCATCAAACCTGCATATGTTAACGCTTTAGGAATGTCATACAAATCCATCACATTATCACAGCTTAATCGCCAAGTGACATTCCGTTAAAGCTAGCGGTGTCAAGGCAGTCTAGCTGCTACCCTGCAATACAGCCTTCAAATATACCAGCCCTGTCTTGCAAATATACACAGTGGTCACCATACTTACTCACCTAGAACCGTCTACCTAAATTACTACAGGCTCCTTTGTGTGTCAGAAGCTTAACAATTACTATACAGGCGTTAACAGCACAACATTTATCATGACAGTTGCTAACTAACGTTAGCTTAGCAGCGCTGACATTGGCTGAGACTCCAGCAGGCGGGCGGCATGTTCGGGCCAAAGGCGAGCCGTGACTTGCAAGAAATGCTATCACTTCCGCCCCATACGTGCATTACAAAAAGCCCAAATGAATTCTGTGACAATGCAGGTTTAAACTACGCGTCGCTGTAATTACCTGAGCTGACTGGCCGAAATGCTATTTGGTGACAGTGGTCCGAGAAAAGTCCTCCCTGTGACAGGTCGCGCTTTTCTTCTTTTATACGGCAGAGCAGGCTCCACACTGCTGGGCGCTTTACTGACCCCTGGCGGAACATAAACAGATGGTTCTTTTTAGTGGTTTGACCCCGACAAGGTGAAAAGGCGCCGAGCTGTTTATTGCGTGCCCGTTTTATGAAATGGAAGAAATTGAAGAAATGTATTTGTGCCCGTTATATGAAATGTAATATGTAAACACTGTTACCGTTTTACAACATACCATTTACTCCTCAGTCCACACGACCCATATAAGAAAACTAATCTTCAAAAACAGCCCATTTTGAATACAATTATTTTGTAATGTTACGAACACATTTGCACGTACCAGTCTTTTCAGTCTGCAGCAGCTCCGCTTATTCATGTTGAAGTTACAAGAAGTGTTTTAGGCCGGATTGCATACAGGGCAGCCAATCAGAACAGAGGTCATTTAAACATTTCATTCTTGAAAGCACAGTAACAAAAGCCAACAATTTAACTTTCAATCCGTTACACACCAAGTGCAACGCGACCAAACGACACGAAAATGCAAAACAACTTTGTCTGACAACATTTTTTTTGACAGAATATCATCAGTGTGTGTATTAAATAAACTGCAGTGCCGTCGCGCACCAGCAGGAGGCAACATCTACTCGTGTGCACTGCTGCTTGTATCTTGCAGTGTGAGAAGAAAAAATGGGGAGCTGGTCGATTTTCCGAAAGGAAGGGGGTGATGAATTATTAAACCTTTTCTGTCAAGTTATGACCCAAACAGTGATTTCAGTTTTCATTAAAATTATATCTGTCATGAATGTAACTGTATCTTAAATATTGATTGAACTCGATTCCAAACATTTTCCAATATTTTGTCATTTTTGTCGCCCGTCTCACCCATTTTACAACTATAGTATAACCCGAACAGTCTAAACAATTCGCGGGAAACACTCGGGGGAACAGCTGCTAACGGCAGCCGTTAGCTGGACTGATAACACGGTTATTTTGTCGACACTGGTTTTATTTCATTGTGAAAATGAGTCGGATGACACGACTGCTGAAAGGTGTTCAGCAGGAACTCAAGGTTGGCAGATTAAGTTTCATTATGAGGATGTTAGCCAACCTAGCGATGTCTCTGTTTTAGTCCTGTTTACAGTCGCTGTTGTTAAATATGTGCGCTGGTGTTGGTATCATGTCGGTATCCGCACTGGACGGATGTTTTGGGTTTGACCGATATTTCAAACCGGTATGATTTGATGGTTTTTTGTATTCTGTAAGAGCAGAATGTTTAGGTGACGATAGGTTACTGTGCTGAAATGTAGAAATAAATGTAATATTTACTCGTAATGCTAATCCAGGTAGATGTAGGTCTAATTTCTTAAATTTATAAATGCTTATGGATCGACATCCGCATCAGTCCACTAGTCTCATATCGATGACTCTCTGGTTATTGTAATTTAAAATGGTTTGTGAAAATATTCTACACTTACTACTTCAGTTACTTAGATTGTGCTAGTTTAGTTGCATTTCATGTCACATCATGTCCTAAGACTGTATTCCTCGCTGAAGATGTGCCTTTTTATTTCCAGAACAGGAGTCAGAAACCTGCAGAGGATCCTGTACAGTCTCCAGAAAGTCTGGATGTGTCTTTAATAGAGAAGGCCAGTTTCCTTCAAGGAGAACAATATTCTTCTCATGGCATGTCAGACTTTTTCATTAACATGGAGTAGTTTTGTTACAGACACACACACACACATCTTCTAAACCGCTTATCCTTCAGGGTCGCGGGGGTGCTGGAGCTTGTTACAGACTCTGTTAGATATATTAGAGTGATGGAGCTTGATTTTTTTTTAATTAATTTTTTTTAAAAAAAAACATTTGTTGTTTGCTTCTTCAGGTAATCCCTTGCACAGCACTGCTTTAGAAGATGAATGGAGCACTGAACCAGACAGTCATCCAAAGGACACTGCAAGGAGAAAGGCAGGTAAAGAAAGAGTGCAGGAGAAAGCCCAGGATGTCGCAGGGACTCCAAAGAGACCTGAACGTGTTGAAAAAGTTCAGGCCAAAACAAAACAGAAAAGTGATGTCCGAGCACAGAAGAAGACCTCAGAATCCAAAAAGAATCAGAGGCCAACACAGAAGACACAGCAAGGACCAAACTCCCAACCACGGTATTGTTTTTCAAATGTGTTTTGCATAATTGAGATATTTATCACAAACCCAGTATACTTTTATGACTGCCAGTTACTCTGCCTTTGAGCTTGCAAACATAGCTTTTGTAATAGTAACAATAATAATAATAATAATACTGAGTAGTAATGATAAAAACAGTGATTTATGCAAAAATTGTATTTATTATGTACGTATATTTATGTTGATATATGTCCGCAGGCGTTTGCAGACCATCTCGGAGAACAGAGAAAAAGAAGGGAGGAGAAGGGCCCAGTCTGAAGTCTTTGAGGTGAGTTTTTTTTTTTTATGTTCTGTGTAGATTTTTAGTACATATTTACTTTTTTGTGTTTCATTAGTAATTCAAGTTATAACGTTGTCATTCTTATAGTCTGTTTTGATCAACTCTGCATGAAAATATGTAACTGTAATATGGTCTCACTGCTTTCCAGGATCCAACCAGTGAGGGTTCAGCAGGCGATGTGTTACCTGAGGTAGCTCCCGCCAATAGCCAGCGCCGACCCTCATTGTCATCAGAGGAGTTGACTGATGAAGATGAGAGTTTTGTGAGGCTTTTGGCTCATTTTTTTGTGTTGTTTTGTTGTTTTACCAGCAGTTGTTCATCACTGAATTGCCTTTGTAGTTTTTTTGACATCCATTCAGAAAAAAAATGTGTGTGTGTGTGTGTGTTGCCTTTGTTTCTTTGATCTTCTGTCAAAGAATCAACTAATTTGTTTGTACATCCTCTAAATTAAATCCACGATTGCCAGTGATTATTAATCTCTGATTTTAAATAGACCTGTTTAATTACTGGACTTTTCTGGGCCAGTCCAATATTTATTTTGTGACGTTTAAATTACTCTTAAAGTCATAAATGATAACAACAATTATACATGGTGAGTAATAAATTAAATGGCTTAGGATTGTTTCTAAATGTCAACACTGATTGAGAATCCTATGCTGAGATCTATGAATATGCGCGATTGTTCAAATTATAAACGCCCCTTTGCCCTCCCATTTCTAAATGGCTCTAGTTGGTGCTTAGGACTCGGGTGCTGGCCTCATGCCACGGCTCTCATCCTCTCATTGGCACATTTAAGTATATTGGACCTTGACTAAGCTGCTACCTAGTGTCCCCCACGAGTTGCTTTTTTGGATGTACTGAGAAACCATGTAACCATGTCGCCATAATATTTTTGATGCGGCTCTCTTTGCAGCATCCAAGCAGTGAGAAACCCAAACCATCCAGAGTGAGGCTACAGAGGAGATCGAGGTCATCCTCTGGTCACCAGCAGAGAGGTCAGAAACAGAAGAGAAAGTCTTCATCTGGATCCTCAGGTAAAGAGACATTAAGGTTTACTCTACAATCTTACAATGAATAGCATGTGTTCTGTACCATAATGTTGATTTTAAGAAGTCTGAAAAGCATTTTAAAAAGATTCATTTCGGAGTATTATTATCTCGTATTATTTTGTATTAGCTATTGAGTATTATTTGCTTCTATTTCAGGAGATTTTTTTTTTTTTAAGAAGTTGTGTTCTATGTGGAAATAGTCTTTTTTTATTTATTTTTTTTTTTAGATGTTTTTGTTCTGTAGAATTTCTAGTTATATATGCTTAAAATGTATCGCTCTTTCTGAAATACTTTAGTGATAGAAGTACTTTCTTTCTTTTATAGACAATGGAAACCACCGTAAGAGGCAGAAACGTGGAACTATGAAAAATCCAATTGATCTTGATGTTGTTCTTGAAGCATTCCAGGAATTTATCACCCATTACAAGTAAGCATTTAATATCACATGATAAAGATTTCCATGATGTGAAGAGCATTTGTATAACTGGATTTTAAAGATTTGTTATTGTCTTTGTTTTTTTATGACATGGTAAATATAAATATCGATATTTATTTTGTGTAGGGAGACAGTGAACTCTGATTCTGTTAAACAAGCCATAGATGCATTCTCTCACTCATTTGAGGAGCAGCTCACAGAGATGGTGAGCCTGTCTAAATACAATCAGTAAGAAATACTGCATGTGTAACAGAGCAAAGATTATACATGAAAACTCACAGAAACAGATTAAAGAACTGTGATGGTCACAGGATTGTTATAATGAACATCTTTAACAATTTATGATGGAGTGAAGCTAACATTAACAAATGTCTTTGATCCAGATCACAGCAACAAAGGAGTTTAATGATGTGAAGCGGAAAGCTGCAAAGGTAGTGTAACTGAATATTTGTCTCTGTGGCAGTAACTGTTTTACATCACAAGATGGAGACATTGAGTGGATTACAGTCACCGTAATAGTTCCCATACCTATGGAGTTAATTTTGTGCTGAAATATTTGAGAGAAGATTGAGCATGTTAGAGAAAGTAATATTACACTTTGAGAGGACAATTTTGCTGAGGGTGCAGCGAATGAGCATGAATGCACTTGTCAGCACTAAGTATGCAGGTAAACGCCTCCGGATTTGCTCAACAAAACACTCTGGTTTCACTCAAAACTTGAAAACCTGCTCAACATTGCCTTTTCCTTTTCAGGACTTGTACGTGCCTAACACTCTAGTTTCACTCAAAACTGAAAAACTCTCAGCTCAAAACTCTTAGGTTTCACATCTGCTGGACTCCAGCCAATCAGGCAGTCCTGTTGTTCGGACCAAAGTCAGGTACATGGAGCCGAACAGTGACCGCCCACTTTTTTAGCGGCTCTTGTACAATACGTATAAATCCCATAGACATTTTAAAATATCCTTCTATAAAGAGTTTTAAGCACTCAACCGAACCAACCAACCACGAGATAAATCATAATGTTAAAGAAATGAAATCCGAAAAAAAAAAATTCAAAAAAGTTTTGAAAAACGAACAAAAAGGCAAAGGTACAAGGCTGTGTATTTAACATGTTTAATGTTGGAATGAACTATATATCCCACAATGTACTGTGAACGGTTTCAACCAATCACTTTAACTCCTTTTCCACCAACTTTTGCAGCTGCGTATGTTCTCTGTTGTGTTTTTGTATTTTCTCATTATTATTTTTTTATTTCATAATTAAAAGTCTTAACAGTCTGTTCATTTTATAATTACTGAAAGAGACCCTGAAGGGTGGAGAAAGTTTGGTGCTGCATTGATGTGTTGATGTGTGAAGTAAAGAAGATTTTTGCCACTCTTTAGATGCAAGTTTTTAAGTTTTAATGGTTTTGTTGAGCAAATCCATAAGCATTTACCTGCTTGCTTAGTGCTCAACTGCCTTCAAGTTCATTAGCTGCGCACTCAGAGCACAGTCGTCCTCTCAAAATTTTAATATTACTTTCTCAAACCTCATAATCTTCTCTCGAACATTTTGGCACAAAATTACCTCCATAGGTGGTTACCATTACCTCCTGCAAGGTGGAATACACAGGGAATTCTGACATTTTAAGGGTGAATCGAAACTGTAGTGAGCGGAAATGTTCTGTTGGAAGGGAACTGAATCAGGAATAGTGGACGTCCGTTTATCACGTCACAGGAAGTTGCCAGAAAGTTTACTTTTTTGCAAGTTGTTGCAGATCTCTTGAAGAGTGCGGGTTGCTTCACGTTTGATGACACTGCAGGACGTTCTGAATGAAGGAACAGTCATTGGCAACAATTTGAACACCCCCGGTTAAATGACGTGTTTTGTTGATTTTGGTAGTCAAATTAAGTTAACACATCCTCTACAGGGAACAAATTTAAATGGACAATTTTTGCTAACTTTAATGCGTAATTGCGGAGTGTAACACTGGGGAAAAAGGTGCCTTCTGCCCAATGAGTGCTGGCAACCCCCATGACCCAGGAGGATAAGTGGCTTAGAAGATGAATGAATTAATAAAAACGAATAAAATATTAACTTTTGCACATGCCACTTTTTGGTGTGTGGTTTTTTTTTTGTTTTTTTTTTGTTAAATAAATACAGCAAATACACAGTAGCAAGTGTTGAAATACGCAGAAGTGTGTTTTCCGTAGAGAATGTATTCACTTATTTTCACTTAGAAAATCAACAAAACATCATTTCACCTCATTCACACTTTTGTTGGTGACTGTATTTAATCAACTGCAGTTCTCTTAACTGGCATCTTCAGGAATATAATGGTACTGTGTAGTGGCCCTATAGAATAGAATGTAATTGAATTGACTTCGTAGTCAATTCCCTTTAATGGGAGATGGTGGAGGAAAAATAAGTGATTGCAGACTGACTGTAATTATTCAAATATTTTTCAAGATATTAATTTTAAGATCTCTCATTCTTTCTTTTGTTTTTTTTTCTTCCTTGGCTCAGATTAATAGTACCCTGAACCACAAAAAGACTAGGCTCTTGGAGGCCAAGAATGAACTAATTAAGTAAGTAGTATGTTTAAAAATATAATTTATAAGGAGTTTACTCACTTTGTTTGTTTACTATTCCTATGCTTAGGAGGTTTTTAAAGTCACAGGGTTTAAGTAACTTGGTCTTTTGCAAATAATGAAAAGAGCTTTGATTGATGAAGGGTGGCTTTTGTCTTGCCAGAAGTGAAGCTGATGTGAGGAAACTTCAGAAGGAGCATGATGAGCTTGAACAGAGGCTCAAGGCCTTGAGACAGGGCACCACCTTCCTTACTAACCTGAAGGAGCTGAACCAGAGGTACCTAGAGTATCGCATTGTTCACCCTGATGAGCCAGAAACGGTGAGGAAATATCCTGTATTTAAAAATACAGGATGGTTGATTATCATTGTCCAAGTTAGAGGTTCCTTATTCTTTGAGGAACCCAAACTTGTCCATGTGTTTGAGAACTGTAATAGAACAAAGTTTGGACAGGCTGAATGCCTTGAAAAGCATGTGCACAGAGAGACACCAAAGGGGAAATAAAAAGGCATTATATTCTGTTAAACACTTAAAGCTAAGTTGTGTTAGTTTTGGGGATTTAGAGACCTCTCTGGTGGAAATGTGTAACTGCAGGCAACGTGCAGGAAGAACATTTTCTTGAAAAGAAGTTGACCGATCGCTCGACTTACTGCTACGGCCGCAGACCATTGCCGCTTGCAGTGGCAGAAATTAACATGTAGTGAATAAAATAAATATAAAATATAACAAAATAAAATAAAACATGCATACCTACCATCACTCACTCAAACACACACACACAGTCATACCTGTAAACCTTACATTGTGCAAAGTATGGGTCTAAAGTTAAAGTGCTGAGTGCAGCAGCAGTTAAAAGGGTGTGTAGTGGCAGAGAAAGGGATCAGTGAGGTAACAGTCTGATAAGCGGGGTAATAAGGCAGGTAAGTAATATACTAGAATAAACACTGGTTTGAGGTGTCAATTCCAGAGGATGGAGTTGAATTAGATGCTATATACCAGTATTTATGAAGTGCAGTTTGAAGCTGGAATATTGTTTTTGTGTAATATTTTAACTGTTCAAGAGAGTGATGGCTTGTGGGAAGAAGCTCTTTTGTAGCCTGGATGTCCTGATCCTCATCTGGCTGAAGCGCCGGCCTGAGGGAAGTAGCTGGAAAAGGTGGTGCACGCTTCCTGGTTCTGGAGGCATGCGGTTCCAGCAGTGTGGGCAACTTAACTCCAATAGTCCTCTCTGTAGACCTGATGGTGCGCTGCAGTCTGTGGAAGTCATGCTTGGTGGCTTAGCTGCCCCACACTGTGATGGACATGGTGATGACAGACTCTATGATGGCTGTGTAGGACTGCACCATCAGCTCCTGGGGCAGGTTGAACTTCCTCAGCTGACGCAGGAAGTACATCCTCTGCTGGGCTCTCTTGAGGATGGAGTCGATGTTGAACTTTCCCAACCTCACCTGCTGCTCTCTGCCATTGAGGAAGTTGGTGATCCACTGGCAGGTGGGGGTTGGCACGCTGAGTTGGAGGAGTTTGTTGTGTAGCTGTCCTGGGATGATTGTATTAAACGCTGAGCTGAAGTCCAAGAACAGAATTCTTGCATACGTTCCTGGGTGTTCAAGCTGATGGAGAATAAGCTGGAGTCCCATGTTCACTGTGTCGTCCACCGACCTGTTTGCTCGGTATGCAAACTGCAGGGGGTCTAGCAGAGGATCTGTGATGTTCTTCAGATGGGAGAGCACCAGTCTCTCAAAGAATTTCATGACTACAGAGGTCAATGCAACGGGTCTATAGTCATTCAATCCTGTGATGGTTGCTTTCTTGGGAACTGGTATTATGGTGGAGCGTTTGAAGCAGGAAGGTACGACACACAGCTCCAGTGATTTGTTAAAGAGCGCTGTAAATACTGGCGCGAGCTGGTCGGCACAGGCCCTCAGACAGGAGGGTGATACACCATCTGGTCCTGGTGCTTTCCTCACTTTTTGACTCCTGAAGAGTTGGTGCACGTGCTTCTCGCAGATCTTCAGGGCAGGCTGAATAGATGGCTGAATGACAGGACGGTGTGAATCTGTGCTGAATGGGTGTGTGGAGCTGGGCTTTTCAAACCTGCAGTAGGTGTTAAGCTCATCAGCCAGCTGACGATCACCTATTGTCTGGGGGGGGGTGTTCTTTTGTAGCTGGTGATGTTCTGCAGGCACTTCCAGATGGTTGATGGCTGATTTGTGGACATCATCCTACTCAGCTTGTTTGAGTAGCTCCTCTTTGTTCACATAGACGTGAACTCCCTCAGACAATAAATTGGTTTGCAGTTTATAAAAAGTGTTTCCAGGTTAGGGCTGCATGTTTTTGTTAACACTGTGACATCTGCACACCAGCCTTGGTTGATGTATAAGCAGATTCCGCTGCCTTTGTTCTTGCCCGAGAGCTCCGTGGAGCGGTCTGCTCTGTATAGGTTAAAGCCATGGAGCTGGAGCGCGCTGCTGAAGTAACGTGGCAGTCATGGCTATCAGGCTTACTGTGAAGTAAGTTCACCATTCAACGTTTATTCCCAGTAAACATAAAGCGGGAATTAAACCACGGTTACACTTTTTTTGGTATTTTGCTGGGATCAGCAGTTGTGGCCATCGGACTGAAGGCACTGCCATCTTGGTAAGCTACAAGAATTTGCGTGTTGTTCACGTGATCAGTTGCTTCGTAACTCTTTAGAATGACTTCATTTATTTTAACTTTTTATACTGTTATAATTTTGTATTTTATAATATTTAGTGATGCACTTTATTTAGGATATTCTTTAATTTGCGGGATTTCTCATACATGCTCCGACCTGCTCCTGCCTGCTGCAGGCTAGTTACCCGCTCGCTCCCGCGCACGACACTGAAAATTAGCTCCGCATCGCAAGATATTGTGGCAGACCTCTACACTACACTAAAGTGCTACTCAAAACTTTTCTCAAGGAAAACATGCATGCCAGATCTGCAATATGCTGCAAAATAAGTTAGGTTTCATTCACGATCAAGTTCCCCTTCTTTCCCAAGAAACCCCTGCCCAAAATGTCTGTGCATGTGCCTGGCCTGTCCTCGAAGGACTTGGTTGGGCACTACTGTATCGTTTCACCCAGTCATGTGTTCACGAAAATCTTAACATATTTCTGATCTCTGATTAGATGTTGTTTTACTGCTGTTTGAGCAGCATCCTGGTCATAGTCCTGAGGCTCTAATATTGGAAATTTATCTTCTGCTATGGACTCTGGTTTCTTATACATAAAGGTCTTTTATTTTGTTTTCTATGAACTTTTTTTCCTTTCTGACAGTATGGCCCTTCCTGCATGCCAGCAATGCTACTGGAGGCCAGGAGCATCATGGGAACTGAAAACCAGTTGAAGACCATCAATGACAAGCTGCAGCAGGTCTTGGAAGAAAATGGTCACAAATAGAATTGTATATGCTTGGTTAAAATTAAATATTACATGTTTAGTAATGTATATAAAGAAGGTCCTTTTAATTGTATTTTAAACAGATTGCAGGTCTGTGCCCGGTGACCATCAGCTGAGTTGAGACAGTAAAGACCCCCCAGTGACGTTAAACAATTCAGCTTGTTTACGAATAGTTAAAGTTTTTTGTTTTTTTTACCTAATGCAAACCACAGCAAGACACTAGTATTCTCACAAGTAAACATAACTGAACTTTTTAACATGCTAAATAATGTGATATTCTACTTCAGTCCACATTGTACCTAGCATAGATGAAGATGATCTAGAACTCTGACTGTACTGGTTAAACATGCTCAATGCAGCCGACAGAGATCATGCCTGTACAGTATTCTGCCTATGTTCAAGGAGAATTCCACCAGTTTTTTAAAATTTCTTTATACTGAAATGGTTAAAATGTAAATATATTCATTCAGAATGGTGTAATGTGCCATGCTCTGTTCTAGAGCCAGAATTGTTCAGTGATAGGAAACATCTGCCTGACATCTGTCTCTAAAAGCTACCTCCCCGAAAGGCGTTACATGAAATGCTTATGAATATGCCGACTGATGCATGAGATGTATGTATGTATGTATGTATGTATGTATGTATGTATATTTTTGATAGTTTTTGATAGTTTTAACAAGGTTTTTTTTTTGTTTTAAACCAGCATAGAGATACATGCAGGGTGTTGTAAAGCAAAATAGTACCAAAGAAAAGGTTTTCTTTTTGGGTTTACCACTATTTTACCATTATCAACATTGCATATAAAAGCTCAGATATGTGTAGGTAGGACTGGGCTATATGGCAGAAAATATTTTACCATACTACTTCAAGACATTTTCACAATACCCAATATGTAGCACAATATTTAGTTTTTTTCTGAGTTAAAAAGTTGAAACAGACTAAATAGAACCTGTAGTGCCACATATAAAAATAACATTAATGATAATGATGATAATAAACCTACAATGTTTATATGATTTTTTTTTTTTTACTCAGTGTTCACTTATACAACCTGTACTGCACTAAATCCAATTAAACAGGTCTATTTATGCTCCCTTTGTATTAAAATAAGTTAGTCAATGTTCTTTAAGTGCAGATGATATCCATGATGTTCTTAGAAATGTGTGTTGTGGCATACTTTATCACAATAACAATAAAATATTGTCATATCAACCACTATAGGTCATTTTGGATAGTAAATAAAATGGCCATATTTGTGTTGACATTGCGACCCGGTTTCCTATCCGCACCACTGTAAAGAATTATTGAATGCACCATTTCACATCCCACCCTGAATGATTTTATTTACATCTTAAATTATACAGAATGTTTTAAAATTTGGTGGAATTATCCCACTTTTCCATGGAAAACTAATCCTGTTTGAATACTGCTAAAGACAAAGTGGGTAGAGAGGGGAGATCATATCCTTTAATACTCTGTTTTAAAGGAAACTGGACCTAATAAACTGCTTTTCTCATACATAGTTTTTTGCTCTCACACAGAGACACATGCTAGTGTATGTGTTCCCAGGTAATACAGGAAAATTTCATAAGGTATTAATATTGTTGCCAACAGATGTACGACCTACAGCCTACATAACTACAACCATTCACTAGAAAGGGCTGGGCAGACGTGAGCGAACGTTGATTAGTGTATATCACTTGGGGTAAAAAGTCATCGCCAGGTTTTAGCTATCAATAACCTTTTAAAGCTTCTAATATTCGACAGTTTCTAGGTAAGAAATTAGGTTTCCCTTGGGGTGAAGCCCATGTCTCTTCCTTTACTGTGTATTGCTATTATAATTTGTCTGATTCACAAACATGGGAAAGGTCTTTTTTAAAAATCAGACATTTGTTTGGATAGTCTTTGTATTGGTGCTCCAACTGCCATCATATCAGCGAGATGACTATTAGATTTTTTTTGTATAAAAGTACAAACGCTGTCACATTGTACAAAAAAGCACTTGCTTTTACAGACATTTACACTGGAATGTAATATGTTCAGCATGAACAACTGGAATGTAATGTGTAACAGCATGAACAACTTAGTCATGGTGAAAATGGTTTTAAAAAATGCCAAATCATTATTGGAGGAACTTTAACAATATATTAATATATTGCATACCCATACCTCTTTGTAAAACTTTGATAGTTTTCAGTTATTCTGTCATTGCAGGTACAGTATAATGTTCCTTCTAAAGCATTAAGGCTGATACAAATTTCACGGTCCAAAATCAAGTTCAGGTCTTTTCCTGTGGAATGAAGAGTTATCTTGTGATTGTGGTGGCAAACTGGAAAAATGCCTGAGAAGGTGAGACACCAAAGAAACACAGGAACAGGATTTGGTCCATGTAGCCTTTAAGAACAGGGAAAATTGTAAACTGCATTACTGAGCACTCCAAAATGGATTGGGAAACAGTCACCTAGTAACTAGGAGGACTGTGTGGGAAAAGTATTTGCCACTTTAGTTACTTAATCAACCCATTAACCAAATTTAGTTGAATACTGTTAGCCTGGTTGAATCTAAACATTGCTTAAATAGAACCTTTCCAGCAATGTAAAGTAGGCTAAAAGTCTCAACAAGCAACACACTGAGATAGATGAGAACCTGTGAATATGTAAGGAACTGCAAGCCTTGCTTGCCTCAGAAAAGGTCAGCGCTCATGATTCCACCATTAGAAAGAGTGTTGCAAGGCAAAAACTACAACTAACCATGAGGAAGATAAAGGCTCATCTCACATTTGCCAAAAAAGCTTGATGGTAGGTAACTTTGGAATAATGGTCTAATGAGTCAAACATGGAACTTTTTAGAAGACGGGATCCCGTTGTGTCTGGCGTAAAGCTAACACAGTGTTCTGCAATACGAACATCATACTAACAGTCAAACGTTGTGGTAGTGTTATGGTGTGAGAATGCTTTGTTGCTTCAGGGCCTGAACAGCCAATTGATGGAACCATAAATTCCGCTTTTTATCAGAAAATCCTGCAGAAGAATGTCCGGACATCGGTATGCGATCTGAGTCTTAAGTGTAATTGGGTTATGCAGTAAAGAATAACCCAAAGTACAAAAGCAAGTCTACTTCTGAATGGCTCAAAAGAAATAAAATTAAGGTTTTGGAGTGGCCTAGTCAAAGTCCTGACTTGAACCTCATTGAGATGCTGTGGCAGGATGTTAAACAAGCTCAAAAGGCTTCCAGTGTAGCTGAATTGAGGCAAGAGTGAGCCACAATTCCTCTACAGAAATATGAAAGACTGATATCCAGTTACGGGAATCTTTTGGTTGCACAAGTTCTTATACCAGTTTTACGTTTAAGGGCAGTTACTTTTAGATGCTGAAAACACTTTCATTCAATAGATGAAATGATCATCTAAAAAATGTATTTTGTGTTTCCTCTTGACTTATATTACATTTTGGAGGACCTGAACCCATTTAGTTTGATTAATATGCAAAAATAAATAAGATGGGAGCTAATACTTATACACAGCACTGTGTGCCCACTTTTAGCACCTCGCAGGTTTAAGCCACACTCAATTTGTAATTTAAAAGAAGTTACTGAAAAAAGTGTCATTCAGGAAATATTAGCTTAAAACTTAGCGTAAAATGACATGCAGCCTTAGGGGGGAGGAGGACTATTAACTTAAGGTGTAGTAGTAATAGTAGTAACAGTGCTCTGAGTATTAGAAAATTCCATTTCCAAAAATATAACTGGGTAGACTCCAATGATAAAAATGTAGCAGCCAGAGATTCATCTAAAACAGTGATGTGTATATTATTACATATACAAATAAAAATGTACAACCCCAATTCCGAATTGTTTGACATGTATTAAGCTGAGCTTTTATCTTATGAACTTCATTGTTTTGTAAATATATGCTGATTCCAAATTTGAGGCCTGCAACACATTCCAAAAACAGGAATAGGAGCATGTTTTCCACTGTGTTACATCACCATTCCTTTTAATAACACTTAGTAAACACTTGGAAACTGAAGACACCAACTGATTCAGTTCTGAAAGTGTAATTTTTTGCCATTGTTCTGTTGTACAAGCTTTTAGCTGTGCAGCCATACAGGGCATTTGTTGTCATTTGAGCTTAGTAAGTCACACATTTTTAATGGGCTGTTGTAACACATGTAGAACATGGCTTGATGTTGTTAATATAACCTTGGGTATCCCTGAAAAAGATGGCAGCTAAAAGGCAGCACATTGTAGCGTCCTCCTACCATGCGGCTATGCGGAGCGGTGAGGGCGGAGTACCGCTGTGGTGGCAGTGAGGAAGACTTAAATCGTGTAAATAGTTGTGGTTTGAAAGATGTATATATGTGTAGTTTGTGGTGTTCTGTGCCGGGCTGTGGGGCTGGTTGGGCAGGTTTAGTGGTCGCCATGGACTGATTGTGTGTGGCTGGAGGTGACCCAGCTTCACGGCTGTTCTGTGGCACTGGCGGTGGGTCTCTCCTGCTGCATGTAAATAAGAAAGCACTCTTTTGAAGCACTGTGTGTCCTGCATCTTCTTCTATGCGGACGCCTAACAACATGCCATTTTATTGTGTGCTCTTTGCATTTCAGATGTTCCTGATGAGAGTTCTGTGATTGTTTAAATTAATCTAGGCATTCGTGTGATGCAACACATGTAAATCATATTTGCTTTGGTTACAATAATCAAGCTCAGTCTTCAACTATGTTAGTTCAAGCATTCAGTGTGTTATTAATTTACTACAAGGCACGTCAAGCCCCTGCATTGCTTAGACCAGAAGTATCAAACTGCACCTCAGAATCTTGTGTTTTTCCTTCTTCAGCACTGATTGATCAATTGAAGACCTTGAACATTAGTTTATGAGTTGATGTACTAGCAGTTTAAAGATTCAGGCATGTTATAGCAAATAGAAGTAAACTCTGCAGTGCTGTAGCCCTTCAGGAATGCAGTTACACACATCTGACACAGACAACAGGCATGCATTCAGTTTAAGTCACAGTGCACATTTCCCTGGCTCTGCTCCATTTGAAATGGCTGAAAGTTCAGTACAAGTGAAACGATGCTGAGCTCTGTATTTGTACAGTGGTACATTGGTAGTGTTTTTTCCCACTGACTGCCCTTGTTTTAGATGACAGCATGGATTACAATCCCAGCACTGCACATATTTGTTCAAAACTTAGTACTTTTTTTTTATTTTCTATACCAGCTGAAAAAATAAAACCTGCCCAAGGAGCTGCTGTGTCAGTTCTACAGAGCTGCCATTGAATCCGTTCTCTGCTAATCCATTACTGTCTGTCATTGGCAACAACCTGCCCTCCCTCCGGGACCTGCACTCATTCCATGTTAGGGAGTGGGCAGGTAAAATTACTGAGGATCCCTCACACCCAGGGCATAGTCTTTTTGCACTACTTCCATTCTGCAGGCCCTACAGAACACCTGCCACCAAAACATCCAGGCACAAGAAGGGTTTCTTTCTGCTAGCCATTCGATTCTATTCTATTTTTTTTTTTATTATTGTAGCTGTATTTAAGCACTGTGTTAGTTGTGTATTATGCCCTGTGTAAGAACTATGTTGTGTTAATTACACTGTATTTTGAGCACTGTCGGGATCACTGTAACCCAGAGACAAATTCCTTGTGTGTGCAGCACATTTGGCCAATAAACTTATGCTGATTCTGAATACAACAGTGTAAACATGGTCAAAGGTTGAAGCCAGTAAAAATACAATGGTCAAACCCTGCTGTTATACATCCTCACATTAAAGAATTGTTATCTTTTTACAGTAATACTATTATGAATGGTTATTAATTAGGTCATGAACACATTAAAAATCAAATCAAGAATTAGCAATTATAACAAATAAAAAGGGCAACAGTGAACTGTTGCATGCCAAATAGTGAGCCCAAGTACATCTATATAGTTAAACCTCAGATCTTGCTTACTTTTGCCTACTTTGCCTTCTCCATCAGTCACTATTATCTGTTAGCTACATCAAATATATAACTAGGTGTTTATGACCTAAATAATCATGAATACATTTGAGACCATTCGTAAAGATAGTCTTAAAGTGGTTCTAATGAAACTTATTTCTCTTCATGATACTAGTTATATTTAGTTTTAGTTTTGCGCAGTGTCAGTGTCATTACGACTGCCCATTAGCATTAATGCCATTGTTTATTGATTACATGGGTTACAAAATGTTTTTTCCATACATAGTATCAGTACATGACAATACTTGCACGTTGTTACCCAATTTAGATATCTACAGTGTCTGGAACAAAGCTTTTTTTCCAGTATGGACATAAGTTAACCCATTTCCATTAATCACATTAGCATCATATTTTTTATATAAACAAGTAAAAACAGCTCAGGCCATGCCGCAGAGCCTCTCACTGACATCCCACAGTTTCCTGGCAATCTCGTCGTCTCTGGCCTCTGGCTTTACTTCTCGGACTTCGCAGTCTGAGAAGTAGCGACCACTCAGGGGCTCGATGCCCTCCTGCAGAGCGCAGTACAGCGTGGTCTGAGAGCCTGACATGGCATCCGTCTGGAAGAACATCTGCATGAGGTGCTTCAGAATCATCATGTACCAGGAATTCATGTCCCGAGCAATCTCTGACCTCACTGATCCTGCAGCACAGAACCAAGAAGCACACAGTGGAAGTGAGCCTGGTGTATTTAGATATCTAACATTGTGTGCAGCAAGTGTATATTATGCTGTATTTGATTATCATGATTTTTTGGTTTTTACTTTTTTTTGGGTGAAATGTGTTTGTAATAGAAACCATGATACAAAAATGACTGAAATCTCATATTTCGAAGAATACAGAAGACAGCAGAAAATAAACCTTAATTCACCACTAATGGAATGATGCAACATTCTCCAACAGTTGTGCTTTTATGTCTATGTCCAAGACCTGATGCATGTATCCAGGAACAGAATACATGCAATTTTATAACTCACCTGGGACTACTTTACTGCCATAGCAATACTTTTCAACTTTTTTTGATCTCCAGCCTAAGACACTATTTTTACATGCAAAGTACCTCATGGACCTGGCTTGTATATCACTCATTAACTCACTCACATTTAACAGGCTGAAGATTCTCCACAAAGGGGAGCACTTAAATAACTTTCGATGGTTCAAGAGCAATGCTTTGCATCAATGACACTGTGTGTCCTGTATTTAATGCTTTTTGTTGTATGAGCTTGTATCGAGACTATCTGGGAAAAACCATGAGAAATTTTGAGCTACACATGAGCACAAATGTAGTCTTGTTAGGGTGGGAACAAAATGACAAAATGAACAAAATCCAAAGCCTTGTGAATTGTTGGCCTATGGATGTAATGTAAATTAGCATGGCTGCAAAGTTCCCCAAAAAAACTCTGATTAAGCATGTACATGTGTCGAGTGTGTGGAGAATATGTGTGGTACAAACAGACATTATCTCAGAAAAAGAACAGTTCCATTAGCCAACAATTGCGCTTTGCTTGCTAGCTTGTTTTACCTGTGTTATTGATGTTGAAAGAGCATGGACTAAAAGAACTTAAGGGCAGGTTTTAGAAAAGTTCTACTTCTGATTGTGCCACAGTCAATGACCAAAACTTTTAACAAGTTGTCCTCTGACAAGTATGTTGGTTACAAGATCACATTTGACCCCATACGAAAAGCAGAGGTATAAGACCATTTTGACACTGAAACTGGACGTAGTTATATGCCCTGTAGACATCTATGGGGGACATTATGTCTGTGTTTTTTTTTAAAGAAGAACATCAGGCTGTTCTTTTAAACACCTGTACTGTAAGTTTGGCCATTATACTTGCCTGGGTGTAGGCTGTAGCAGGTCACATTCATTCCCTTCAGTCTCTTGGCCAGCTCATGTGTGAAGAGCACATTGCACAGCTTGCTGTGGCAGTACATTTTGAATATGTCCATGTCAGACGAGCCCATTCCCAGCCTTTTGTGTGTACTGATGCAATTGAAATCAATGGTTCCTACGTCATGGCCATGGGAAGAAACATTGATCACTCGGCTTGGGGCGCATTCCTTTAAACGGTCCAAAAGCAAATTGGTCAACAGGAATGGACCGATGTGATTGACACCAAAGACTAGGCCAAGGCCATCCTCCGTGCGCCCTGGTGCAGCAAGTCCTACAAACAAATGACACAAAGCATGCCAAATTTATCATACTCATATGGGTAAATAAAAGCGTTCTTGGCTAGCTCAAAATAATGAAGATGCCTTTATCATATTGTTTTGTTGTCAGCTCCGTACTTCTGACTACTGATACACTGTAAGTATAAAGTATTCAGACACCCCTTCTAATTAGTGCATTCAGCTACTTTAAAATGTCCCCATTGCTGATACAGGTGATTCAATTGCACAAACATAGCTTGTATAATCTCTACAGAACAGTAGAATAAGTAGAATAAGAGTAGAATAAGACGCTCGGGAGCAGCCACACATGAGCCTAAGGTCATCTTGCTAAGTGCCAAGACTAGAGTATAGTATAAAGCCCCAAAACATGAAGCTGTGAAACAGTGGAACTGTGTTCTCGGGGAGCTGTGGAGCACCATCCAATATCTTCAGGATGAGTTTAAGTGATCCAGCTCTAATCATCCAACATTAGTACCTGAACTCACTAATGTTCTTGTGGCTGAATGCAATCAAATCCCCACAGCAATCTTCCAGCATCTATTGTAAAGCCTTTACTAGAAGGCTTACCTGCATTGTTGATGAGCAGGTCAAGTCTGCTCTCAAATTTTAGAAAGGTCTCAGCGAAAGAGCGGATGGACTTCATACTGGCCAGATCCAGAGGCATGAAAACCACCTCATCATTCCCACTTTCCTGAGAAGGCAAAAATGGTCGAACATTATTTGTAGACTTCAGAAAAATCCATCAGCAGAATAATGCTGAACAAAAGAATTCAAGTCTAAACCTAAACCATTGACCAAACTAGTGATGGGCTTTTCAGTGTGCCAGGTCAAACAGCTCAACTTACAAATAAGAATAGACTCTTTCAGCTCACAATGACACTTCTTTCAGTAGCCCTGGCAGTGTTGGCTCCCCAAATTAGCCAAGTGATATTAGCTGTCATTAAGTTTTCAGTAAAACTAGTTTACCTTCTAAATAAGAAACTAACAAAAATTACATTATTGTTGTTAAAAAAGAGTCAGGTAAGTAGTTTGACAAAGAATTTCGAGAGGCAGCGATCATAAGATCATAAGCAAATCCATCAACCATCAACCATACTACTACCATGTCTAAAATCAGAAGAACTAACAAGGCACACTTGGAAACATGGCTAAGACATGGCTAATCAGAAGTGTTGCTGAGTGAATGAGTTGCTGGTGCCTCTGCTCACCCTCCTGATGTCTCGCACTGCATCCTCTCCCCTCTGCTTGCTTCTGCAGGCCACGATCACTCTCGCGCCCCTTAGTGCCAAAGCCAAAGCTGTAGCCTTGCCAATGCCAGTATTACTGCCTGTTAGACAAAGCAGTTAATTGGTAGTGTGGTCACATCTTTAGACTCCATTCTCTGCAAGCTAATGGTGTCTATTTTAGCCAAATGCCATACAAACCAGGGAAAATAACAAGCAAAAAAACGTTTAGCCCATTTATCTCATTCCAAAACAGACTTTTCTAATACTTCACACGTTCACACTCATTAGTAGCCTATAAAATACCTGTGACTATCACCGTCTTCTCGTAGAGAGTCACTGGACTAGTGAAGGTCTTTCTGTGCACGTAGGTCCTGTAGAAGATGAAATACGCTCCTACTAGCACTATGAGCAGAAGAAACAGCCACATGTCTGCGTCCTCTCTCAGAAACGCTCCAGGTCAGGATCAGGTCTGGAGCTAAAATGTAGATGCCATCGATATTAATCACTCGAAACCATCTAAGATTTCTGTGATCTCCGCCCAGTCTCTCTCAGCAGCCTTTAGGTTAGAGATGGGGGTTATGTAAGAGTGACGTTATTCAGACTCTTTTAACTCTATTGTTTATAAACACATTAACAGTCCGTCTTCAAACTGTTCTCATCAAAGGATTCCTAGAGGCGAGAAAACAGCACTGAAGGCTGTGAATAGCTAATGTATGATAATAGACATTATGATCCACAGCACGGATTGGTTGTTTTAACTTTTAGAAGTTTGATTTTGAGTTGATGGTACAAACTGTATATTAACAGAACATTACAATCTGTTAACTTACTGTCTGATGATCCACTTAAAATTTTACGTTACTTAATTTTTTAAGTTAAAACAACAATTGTCTTTTACACTTAGACAGTACTATATGAAGTTTATTGTCTCACTCATAATTAACAGTAATAATAATAATAATTACAATAATTACAATAATAATTTATTACTTGACTCATTTTAAATGCATTACATACAACAAAAACATTGTTGAACAACAGAAGCAATATTACAAAATAATTCTCAAAAACGTACTTTATTTTAGGAGTTTCTTGGAATTGAAATTCACACTTGGAATTGTAATTGAAAGTTTAGTGGGAAACTATGAATTCTAACAATCAGACTTAATTATATTTTTTAAATGATTGCCAATATTAATAACTGTTAATTAATGAATAGCAATAACTATTAGAAATAATCAGTTAGCCCTTACAAGAAAAACGTCTTCTACAGGAATAAATGCTTTGCCTCTGTCTTTTGTTCATACTGGCTGAGTGCAACATCAGTGGTTTGTTCTCAGAGGGATGGTGTGGACAGTGTGGGTTTGTGATCTGCTCCTGATCAATTAAAACAGAAATGTGGCAGCACAGCGCTCTCTAGTGGTCGTTACTTCATTATAGATTTTTGATTTATAAATCATCTCTTTGTCTGTATAATTACTGGGTTTTAAAATCTAAATACCGGAAAATGTGAACTAATTATTGTTCAGTACCAAACCGCAGTACTATTTGTAGTAGTTTCTCGAAATTAAATCATCAGAAAGCTTTCTGACCTCTGAACACATGCACACATTTTTCAGTTATTAAAACCGACGCCAGTTTCAACTTTATAATGCACTCAAAAAAATGACTCTTTGAATTTACATAATTTTTTCATCAAAGTGTTGCACGAAATTAAATTATCTACATTCAGAGATATAATTTGAGTAACATTTACTTATTACCTATAAGTAATGTCAACTTAACTATATTTTGCAGGATTTACTTCAATAACTTCAGTAAGTTTAACTAAAATGAATAATGTTCTTTCTACTTAAGCAAATTATGTAGATTGTTATAAATACAATTTTTTTTAGTTAAAACAACTCATATTTGATGCCTTTCTGATGACATTTACTCATTGCTTGTAAGTTTTGTCAGCTTAATTATATTCTGTAAAATTTCCTTGAAGTGTAATTTTAACTAAATTTAATCATGTTCATGCTATTTCAATAAATTATGTAGATTGTTAAATAACCTTTTAGTTAAACTACTCAATTCTGGTGTATTAGATACAACCGCTTAATTATATTAATGTACCATGTTTAAATGTTAATTTTCACAAATTAAACTTCAGCTACACTTATTAATGTTCCATCTATTTAGACACATGGTCAAGACACTATCATGACAATAAAAAATACAGTGACTTTATTAAGGTACATCAAATGCATATGCATATTAGGATGAACTAAAATACACATTTGCTTTACCACTGAATATTAAGTAATAAAACAAGACTATAGACAAAATAAAGCAGAGTAGTAAAAAATAGACTAAATAGTTCTCTAAAAGTGCACAGGTATCAATGAATTATTGCTTGTCTTGCAGGCAACACAAGCTAAATTGCAACTTTGCATACAATAATAAGCTTCAAACAGAACACTGCAATTATAAACACATTCAACTAAATGTGTGTGCCTTTAATCACAATTAATTAAGTCTTAAGTAATGGCCCAGAATTTGTGAAACAATGAAGTAACATTCAGTAATTATGTAATGATAACACCAACCTTAAGTGCAACTTTACAACAGCAGATATTTAAAATAGAACAGCACAATAACACAGTGTTAATGTTATATGACTTTATACAATATCCAATTGTCATCAATGATCAAAATAGTGCCCCAGAAATAGTGCCTACAGAGTACACCCTTCTTGTCAAAGCACAGCCTGTAGTTAGCACAACCTTATTTTGCTTGTTAGACTACGCAAATTTGAGGTGAAAGTTTATAGAGCTCAAATTGTTCAAAAAGCTACTTTGTACAGTGTTGGCAAAAAAAGATTCTAACATTTAACTGCATGCCATTTTAAGACAAATTGTTCTTAAACATGACCAGGTTCTTGACATGTTGTATAGAAAATCATTGAAATGTCATTGAATTTTAAGAGATGTTGACAAATACAGCCATTCTAGTTTCATGTGACTTAAGCGTTGTTCAAAAGTCCATTGCTTTTCAATCAAAGTAGAAGCTAGTGTAAAGAATTCCATATATTTCCAGAATGGACAGCCTACTCTGACTATCCCAAGATTTTGTTCTCCAAACCAAGAATTTTAGGGGAGAGCTTTGCACCATCCTTTGGCATGAGGAATGTACAAATTCATAGCAGCATTTCCGCCCATTGTGGTGAGACGTATTCAGTGCATAGATTACTCAAAGCATTACTGCAGTCTGGTGCAACTGATTTGATGTTTCCTACAATAACGTTTCCATCAGTGTCAACGTCTTCATATTCTCCAAGAGCTCCACCCTCTTCTGATGGACATTCATGGTGAAGACTTCTTGAGAGACCAGCACAGCACTGAAATGGGGTGCTGTGCTGGTCTCTCAAGAAGTCTTCACCATGAATGTCCTTCAAATTAAATCTTGTTATTAATACTAAACTCCATTGTACCCTTGCCTTATAAAGGGTAAGTTGAGTTTATTTCTCATTTGAGCTCTTCTAAATACTTCCAGGCACCTCCGACAGTTTTTTTTAATATCAAATACTTATTTTATGATGAATCTAAATAAAATCAGCCCCCATCTCCACAAAACTCCATTCAATGGTAGAATACACATTACAAAATGGATAGTTCTAGTTTACCCTTCTCACACCATCACCTACAATCTATGGTTGGTGCTAACATACTAACACACCAACGCGTTTCGATTTGGATTTACTATACAGACGGCAGGGGGCTCATTTTATTAAGCAAATGTTATAAGCAATTGATGTAAGAACTGAGGTGCCTGGAAGACACACAGTATTTAAAAGAGCTCAAATATGAAATAAGATGAATTTATGAATTTATGAAGATGAATATTGATTGCACTTGTTAGAATATACCTTCAACTGTTTAAAAAAAAAAAATTGGTACGTTAACTTGACAAGCATACAAGGAACAGATAAAAGAAACATATGAACATCAAATCCCGATCATCTTAGAGACTGAAAAATGATTACTAATTTGAACAATAAAACAAATAGATAAAAAGTAGCTTTGCAAAACAAATAGCCTCATGGTTAAATACAAATATCAAATCTGGGTCATAAAAATGCACTTAGCAGAGACTTAGAACATGCCAGAGAATCCTTTAAAACATGGCATGCAACAACCTTGGTAAGCCTTAAACTACAAACAAAGGGGGCATTTAAATAAAATTAAATGAAAAACCATGTTAACATTTCATCTTAAACATAAACTTTACTTTAATGTTTCATCACTTTACCTTAATGTTTTATCTCACCATGTGGAAGGACATAACAGTGCCTTATTTAGGCTGAAATTTAATAGTCTTACAATAATATATATTATTTTACTCATATTTAGATATTTGTTTTAACCCTTTGAGCATTATTTTAGTTTGCAACCAACTATGATATTTAAGTCACATCATGCTTCTTTTAAACCAATATGGCTATCAGGATTCCCTGTCTTGGGTTTGTGCATTATTGAGCATCAAAATCAATGTATAATAATTACTTCTACCACTTGGCACTTGAAGACCATAATGTTTAACATAAATGCAATTTGACTAAACATAAGGTAAACCACATCTTGGTAACAGTGACAGAGGGGTTACATGAGCAAAATACATTTGTGAACCTGCTTCATGGTGATTGTAGCCTACTAGCTAAGTTAGCCAGCTAGCTGCTAACACTAACGTTTGCTTAGCAAACTAACACTAGCTAGCTGCGCTAACGGTATCAGAGTCTATGTTGGAACAACACATTACGAACTGGGTTCATCGAACAGAGCATTCAGTCTTAAATGGATAAACGTTTAAATTAAACCAGGTAGCTCATGTCTGTAACATACTAGCTGCTAACGCTATGTTTGCTAAGCTAACGCTAGCTACAATAGCGTTTGTAGGCTCCATCAGAAACCGGCTCTGGCTCCATATCCAAACTCCAGGATTGGTGGAGCTAGCTAGCTAGCTAACAAAAGCTGAAATTACACAGGTTTGTGGACACCTAGTATCCAAATATCATATCCGAAATCACAGGCGAAGCGAGCACAGCCTCCTCCACGGGAAAGGATTATTACAGGTCATGTCAAGGACACACAACTAGGTCTGTTTACTTCGAATATGCTTTGAACTGAGCCCCTCACAAACTTATGCTATGCTAGTCGTCCATTAACTGTACGTTTTCATCTGTTATATCCAATGCTGCGTTGTGTGTGTCTACAACCATCTAAACAATATTTTACCGTGTAGTTGTACGATGACAGAGCAGCAAAACGCACTCGTCTGCAGTGAACTTTAAAAAATGGCGCCGTTACTTAGCTAGCTAGCTAGCAGGCTAGGTCAACAGTAACGTTAGCTAACGGTTGTGTTCATGCGCAAACTTACTGAGGACCTCAAGTGACCAACATAGACAGATACTTATGAAAGACACATTAAATTAAAACACTGCGACACAGCTTTAGTAAGTTTAGTGATTATTTGACCGAGTAACGTTATGTGTACTGTGAATATGCGTCGGTTTAAACTAACCTGGCTGGCTAGCTAAGCTAGCGAATGTTAAGCCATGCGAAGTCCTCCCTTAACCTTACGTTTTTGCCAATATTTTGCGTAAATGTCATGAATATGTTATATGTCCATAATGACAAACAATAGACAATATACAATATACAATCTCCTACCTTGTAAATGTAAGATGACAGAGTTTTCTCAGTTAATCCAAATCTTCCAAGAGAGGAGGTGTAGAAAATGGCTGCCGTCAGCTCGGACACAACATAATTATTTCTAATTAACTTTAAGCATGTTTCATATGTTTAGTTTACTGTTTTTCAACATTGCTTATTATTATTTAGTTGAAGCAAAAACACATTTAAATTGAGAAAAACATGCACAGTTTTATTTTGTAAAATGTACTTAGGGCCAAGTTCATTTTTTTCAGTGTGCCTGAATATCTTTAACATCGTTTTTGTACTGATCTAGTTTGTATTGGCTATATGAATTACAAAACTTTATATAAACTATAAAGATGAAAACTTTATTACAACCAATACGTTAAAAAGAAAAACTTTACATTTTGGAGGATGAAAAAAAAACACCTTTCATATATTATACAAAATAAAGTGCACTCTAAAGATTTTTAACAAGTTGTTATTTTTTGTATTACAAAATAACGTAAGAACTTTGTTCATAAAATTAATTTCTACTTATAAAGCTTAAATTTAAGAGCAGTTTTGCTGACTTTTTATGTATGAAGTATTTGGTGCTGGCACTTTTAGAGTCATCAGTCACTAAACCCGGCACGTTTAGAATCATCAGTCACTAAACCCGGCACTATAAGGATCATCAGTCACTAAACCCGGCACTATAAGAATCATCAGTCACTAAACCTGACACTATAAGCATCATCAGTCATTAAACCCGGCACGTTTAGGATCATCAGTCATTAAACCCGGCACGTTTAGGATCATCAGTCATTAAGCCTGGCACTATCAGGATCATCAGTCACTAAACCCGGCACTATTAAGATCATCAGTCACTAAACCCAGCACGTTTAGGATCATCAGTTACTAAACCCGGCTTTATTAGAATCATCAGTCACTAAACCCGGCACTGTTAAGATCATCAGTCACTAAACCCGGCGCTATCAGGATCATCAGTCACTAAACCCGGCACGTTTAGAATCATCAGTCACTAAACCCGGCACTATAAGGATCATCAGTCACTAAACCCGGCACGTTTAGAATCATCAGTCACTAAACCCGGCACTATAAGGATCATCAGTCACTAAACCCGACACGTTTAGGATCATCAGTCATTAAACCCAGCACTATAAGGATCATCAGTCACTAAACCCGACACGTTTAAGATCATCAGTCACTAAACCCGGCACGTTTAGAATCATCAGTCACTAAACCCGGCACTATAAGGATCATCAGTCATTAAACCCAGCATGTTTAGAATCATCAGTCACTAAACCCGGCACTATAAGGATCATCAGTCACTGAACCTGACAGTATAAGGATCATCAGTCATTAAACCCAGCACGTTTAGGATCATCGGTCATTAAACCCAGCACTATTAGGATCATCAGTCATTAAACTCGGCACATTTAGGATCATCAGTCATTAAACCCAGCACGTTTAGAATCATCAGTCATTAAGCCCGGCACTATCAGGATCATCAGTCACTAAACCCAGCACTATTAAGATCATCAGTCACTAAACCAGGCACGTTTAGGATCATCAGTCACTAAACCCAGCAGTGTTAGAATCATCAGTCACTAAACCCGGCACTATTAAGATCATCAGTCACTAAACCCGGCACGTTTAGAATCATCAGTCGCTAAACCCAGCACGTTTAGAGTCATCAGTCACTAAACCCGGCACTATTAGAGTCAGTCAGCTGCTGTGTGAGGTGGCGTCACGATACCCGCCACTTCTTTGCACGCGGAGATCCAGACGCTGGTTGTGCGGGGTGGGGGCGGAGCTCCAGAGTTCAGCCGCACTCCGATAGGCTCCATGTTGCTCTGGGTGAAGAGCCCACTGCACACAGGTTACAGCCGTTTTACCAGTTTTACACCTCAAACAGCGGGAAACTTCAGGCTTTCGCTTCGCGCCTCGTACAGCACTTTGTAAGTACGATCATTTACACTCATAACGTTTAAACCAGGCGAAGGATGCCGTTTAGCTGTAGGTTTGGTCTTAATGGTTTGTAATACTGTCCCGCTTCACAGAGAGTTTTACAGGGGAAATTCATTTCCACATCGAGCTTGCTACTCATAAGGAACACATTTAGGCCTGTGCACTGCCATGACATGTATGCTCATGTTTTTACTAGTTTGTAGGTGGTTAAAGTAACATTCTCTTATAGTCTTCAAGCAAAAACAGATTGTTGTCTTGTATTTTCACGTGGGAGTTCTGAAAGTGTACCTAACTCATTAAAAGAGAAACAAATGAGCACTACTTATGGCTGAATTATACTTTCCCAGCAGAGAGTCAAGAGAGATCACAGTTACTATCAGTTGTCTTTTTACAATTATTTGATCATCTGGGCATATTCAGACTTTCCAAAACAAGCAGTGTTTTACTGAGTTTGATCACCATCTTTAGAAACTCTGGACTTTAGCTTAATTTACAGATTGGCACTGGTTATCATACTGAAAAATGAAAGCAAAAGCCTGTTTGTCATTCTACAGGCGGTGAGGAAGAGGAAACAAGGAAGTCCCTTTGGTTATCACTAAAACAAATTCGGACTTCACCTCTATTACGCTGCATGTCTAGCAAAAACAAGCGCGTGCACGAACAAGCAAGAAGATCAGATAATTTCTCTGTACTGAAAAGAAAACCTGAGTCAGTAAATCATATTGCAGTGGAGCCTAATCATGCTTTCACTGCATTTACAGATGTTAGTTCTGACAGGTTCATACCTTGATGTCCTGAGGCTGTCTTTTCCACTATTTAATAAATATTTGTTTTATACAGAATTTTGTCTTTTTCATATCTCTGTTAAAATGATTGCATTTGTGTCCTTTACAAAAAAGGTGTTCTTGTGTAGGTCATGTCTGACACGGACAATGGTGGCACAAATGCAGATGGAGGTGACAGTGTGGACGCCAAAGGATTCAGCCTGAAAGGGTAAAATACTTTAACATGCTTGCACAAACCAGTTCTAAGAAGGACCAGTTTTTCTAGATAATAAAAACTATACAAAACTGTGTAAACAATTTTCCAAAAGTCATAGTTGAACTCCATGGGTCATGCAGAGTGTTTTGAAGAAAAAAAATGCACTTTCCAGAGAACTTTGCCATGGTTGTCTTTACAGGTTAGTGACAGGAACCAGGGTCAAGGTATCTTTTGCATTGCAAATATTTGGTTTTGATATTTGGTTTATTATCTAAACAATCAGTGACGCTACACACGTCTTCTGAGTTTTTATTTACAACGTTGATAATGCTAAATTTGTTGTAAATCCTGTTATTTTTGGATTCTGTTGTAATCTCTTAGCGCCCTGCGTGTATGTCAGAGAAAGACCAAATACTAGTTTGTACAAAAATGTGCTGTATTTTTGTAAAATGAATCATAAAACCATGGGCATCCAAGATATCAGGCTACATAATCATGTTGTGTAATAACATTCTGTGAGGTAAAGGCTTTAAACACTCTCTCTCTAGTGGTGCTCTCTCTCTATAGTGGTGCATATTTCATCAAAACAAACTAAACAACTATGTTCATTTCTCTTTTAATCAGTTGTTGGAATTCACTGTAATTTCTTTCAGCTGTGCCTTATATTGCATCAAAATGTCTAACATCTATCTGCAGTCTGTTCAGGTCTGACAAAGAATCTGTTCAAGCCAAAGAAGTCAAAGACAAACAACCTCCTGACTTGTACAGATACCGCATGGACTACCCTAAACTTGGGAAATGTATCATCATCAACAACAAGAATTTTAACCACAACACAGGTAAGAACTAAATCGGACAGTAATTGTCACTTCTTGGTCTCTGAGATCATTGACTCTCAAAGAGAATGTTAATGTCTTCATTTGTATTCTCATTGAAAGGGATGAGGGACCGGGCTGGAACAGATGTGGATGCAGCAAAAGTGGTGAAAGTCTTCAGAGAGCTGGGTTTCAGTACTTCAGTCCAAACCAACCGAACTGTTTCACAAATGTGGGAGATTTTAATAAAAGGTTTTATGTAATATTCTTACACATTTACCTTACTCAGCATATTAATTACTCATAAGTGAACTGAAACTGAAGTGAAAGGTTTCTTCATAGACCTCAATTTCTTCATAGACCTTATTGTTACCAGTATAAGCCATTACATTCTGTTTTGTCAGGTGCTTATATAAATGCTCCAGCTGTTCACTGCTATCGGAAACTGTTTGTAGATTAGTGCATGTCCTTTCACCCTCAGCATCCAAGGAGGACCACAGCCAGTCAGCCATGTTTATCTGTGTGCTACTGAGTCATGGGGATGAAGGAGTGATCTATGGCACCGATGGATGCGTGGAACTGAAGGAGCTAACGAGACTCTTCAGAGGAAACCAGTGTAAATCTCTAGCTGGCAAACCTAAACTCTTCTTCATACAGGTCTGATTCAAAATGATTACATGATTACAAATGTTTTAAACATCACTTTATTTACTTCTCTTGTGAAGATCTATGGACTCACCTTAATTTATTTTAACAGTATAACATCTAGACACACTGGCCTGTTGTCAACAGGCATTTCTATTTCTCATTTGCATCTGTTGTACTTGCAACCATGAAACTAACAAAAAGCACCTGTACAATTCCATTTCCTACATTTCCTACATTTCCTATTTCGATAGGTTTGCTGACATTTTTTTTAATTAATCATTGTTTTCTTTTTGGGCCACAAGTCTGATCTTTAACATGAGCTTGATCAGCAAGCCAGTAGATCAATTTGCAAAGCCAACATGTCAGGCATATTTCCATGATACCTGGATAAGCTATTCCCTATTTTTAATCATCACCCTACTTATAATGCCACTGCAAATCCAGGCCTGCAGGCAGATGTAGATGAATGGAGTTCAGTGTAACTTCATTGTAAGATCCATAGTTTTTAGACACGGTCATTGAAAAGATCAGTTAATATGAATTATTAAGGTTTTAGGCCTTAGACTACAACAGTGTTTATTCACATGTTCAAAACATGTACTTATTTTTCGTCCTGTTTTCTTGGCTTTTATCACAGTTTTGGTCATAAGGTAACTCACTGTCGCTCTTTGATCAGCATTCTGATTTATTGTTCATGTGTATTGAGTTAAGGCGTGTCGTGGAACAGAGCTGGACCCTGGCATCGAGACTGACAGTAGTCCTGATTCAGAGGGCATAAAAAGGATTCCTGTTGAAGCGGATTTCTTGTATGCGTACTCCACTGCCCCAGGTATATAGTATATGAAAACCTTGTATTTCTGAAATGCTAATTTTATAGTAAAAGCATAATACATTCTTAACTTAATCTTCTGTTAAAGGGCACATATCCTACATACTACATCCTTGCTTCTTTAACCCCCATTTTATGTGACCTATCCTCAACCTCTCTTTATCTTTTTGTTATGATGCCATGTATGGGGACACTTGAAACACTTCTTATAATATCAGCATGAATGGGCAGGGCTAAACTGCTGTAGGCTAAATATGTGGAGACATATAAATGTGTGACATTACAAATTCAAAATGGCCTGATTTTGCAGCTTAGTTTCCATATGGACCATTGAGTTAATGATACATGTTGAAACAAGAGTCTTTAAAAAAGTGGGAAAAAATTCTATTTTTCTTTATATGGACATTATAATGTAATGTAAAAACATGAAAGTTTCCTTTTCAAAATGTCTTTTGGTATATTATTTATAAGATGTTCACATAGTGTAAAAAACAATGTATTTTCAAATGTAAAAATACACCCCCCCTAAAAAAATTAAGTTATGTGGTATTATTAAAACCACAACAAGGTTTTTTTTTTTTTTACAGTTATTTAAAATTTGGGCACCCCATACAACATCTACAACAAATTGCAAAAAAGTAATGCAAATTTTAATGCAGTTACTTAATATTTGATTAACTTAAAAACAGAAAAAATGTAGTAATTGTACTATCCAGTTGTAAAGTTTCAAATCTTACTTAACTCATTAACCATGGGCTCCTCTAAGCAGCTGGCTGAGGATGTGAAAATGAAGCTAACTGATGCCTACAAAGCAGGGGAAGACTATAAAAAGATATCAAACGTTTCCAGCTTGCAATTTCTACTGTCCAAAATATCATTAAGAAATGGCAGTCAAGGAGAACTGTGGAAGTCAAAGCAAGATCTAGAAGAATACTATAAGATAGAACTGTTCATATGCTGGCCAGAAAGGCACAGCAAAAGACCTGCAGGAAGGTTTAGCTAACACAGGCATGGTGGTGCACCATGTTACTGTGCAGCATTGTTTACACAAACATGATCTGCATGGAAAATTCAGCTGAAGGACATTTTACCTACAACCTCATCACAGAAGCCAATATTTGAAGAAGGCAAAAAACATCTAGATAAGCCAGAGGCATTTTGAAAACAAGTGCTATGGACCGATGAAGTGAAAATGGAAGTCATTGCCACAATTACCAGAGGTAATTTTGGATGATGCATAATGATGCCAGCTGTTAGGCATGGGGAGTAGAGCAATTATGCTTTGGGGTTGTGTGACACCAGAAATGGTCATTCGGAAAGCGAATGTGATGCAGTCAGTCAAGAAATTGAAGCTGAAAAGACACAGACGTCTGCAACGGAATCCAAAACATACTGTAAGAAGCTTTTAAAATGGCCCTGACTGTCCACTGACTTGAACATCACTGGAAATCTGTAGGTAGATCTTAAACATGCTGGACACGCAAGAAGGTCCAAGAACATCACAGAATTAGTAGCATTCTGGAAGAGTGGGTGAAAATTCCTAAAACAAGCACATCCTAGCTGGCTACAAAAACTGTTTGCAAGCTGTGTCTTGTGCACATGCCTTGTCTGCTATTTCATTTTTTTTTTCAATTGTTTAAGTTAATGAAAGATGAAGAAACTGCATTAACATTTGCAGAAGAAAAATGTAATTTTTAAAGTTTGCTCCAGAAGTTCTGTTTATTTCTTTTCACTTCAAAAATCAGCAAAATATGTACATTTGCCAGGAGTGCCCAAACTTGATTTAGTGTGTCTTCAGGTTTGTGTGTGCAGATTCCTGCATGTGTTCAGTCCTTCATTTCTGTACACATATCTCCTTTCCCACAGGTTATTATGCTTGGAGAAACGCAACTAACGGTTCATGGTTCATATCAGCCCTTTGTGAGATAATGGAAAAACATGGCAGAGAGCTGGAGATTATGCAGATCATGACACGTGTGAACCACAAAGTGGCGCTGGAGTTCCAGTCTTCCTGCAGCCTTCCGGGGTTTAATGCTATGAAACAAATACCATGCATTATGTCCACACTGACCAAAGAACTGTACTTTCCAAAGTGACTGAGTTTCAATGAAATTAAATTAGGTCTAGGAGAGGAGTTTGGTTGGCACGCACTACATAGTGGACCAAACAGGGGCCATTCTACTCTCTCTGCCCTCTAACCTCTGACCAAACTCAGAGTCTCTTCACCTTATATCATGACCAAACTGTTATTGTTATAATCCAAGAGCTGCCCATTCTGACCAGAAGTAACCATTTGTGGAAGAAATTCCCCAACATGGAAGAGTCCTATCAAATAAAGATGCTAATAAGAACTGTCCCTTTGAGGTGGAATAAGGCAGCTCCTCAAAAAGGCATAAATTTTTTTTTAACTCTACAGCAGGAACTTTTCAATTGTTTACCATATCCATAATCAATAGAAAGTGGATCACGTTGATTAAATCAAACATTAATTAAGTTGTATCTCTGATTGTCTCTAAAATGTGTCACATCTCCAACATGACACTATAATATTTTCTTATGAATATAAATCATTCCATGATCATCCAATGGGTTGGTGGCTTTAGACTCCCAGTAAGATACGTGAAATGGAGCTGGTTCATAAAAAATACAGTGTCCAATGCCAGAGTGTTCTGAGAAAAAAACTATTGGTCACGTGATTGTCGATTGCTTTGAAACAAAAGATACTTGTTAATTCAAATAAATCAATTTTGTAATAAAAGAATTATATTTTGCATATGTATTTGCATAATAATATATCAAATATGGGTAACAAGAGCAAAAATGTCAATAGAAAATGTTTTTATTCCTTCTGAAAAAGTCATTAAACAATGTATAGTAAAGTTGAAATGAAAACAAAAATATGAAATTACAAGGAAAAATATTACATTTTAATATAGAACATTTCAAGTATTTAATCTAATTAGAAATGACTTATCCAGTTCTGTGAGAACAGCGTACCCAAGACAGTAGAAAGTTTAGGACACGTTTTTTTCCCCCATCTATAATCTTATACTATAAAGTTTAAGTGTTATGTTAAAATAGTAGGTAAGTATAATTTGTTTTATTATTCGCATGCCTAAAACAAACTAAACATCTATAAATGTTTTAAATACTTTTCGGGTTATTTTACTAATATATCAGCGATTTAAATTAGCGTGAACGGGTCATACCTGAGTCTGGAGTGAACCAAGTGTGGCCAAATGTAGCCAGGTTGATTCAAATAAGCACGGTTTTTATAAGCTGGCTTCGTGGACTAACGTTACCTCCCGGTTCTGAAGTCTGGACCTTTCTGTCCTGAGGTCAGCGGATTAAACTGTCACGGTCTAAGGCTGAAGAAAAACATTATCTACAGAAATAAATGGGTTAGTTCTACTGATGGCAAAAACGAAGCTTTCTGAAGAAGTGAAATTTTCCTTTAATTGTATCGGAAAATCATTCGTTACTCAAAGCTTTTAAAACCTGTGCACATTAACGACACCTGGTGGTTAAAACTTGAACCACAGCTACACATCTACTGTGCTAAATCTGCTCTCCTAAATCTTTATATCCTAGTTATTTAAAAGTATGTCATTCGTTTCTAAAGCACTAAAGGTAATTAGTAACATAAACATGACGCAGGGGTATGTTACATAAAAAAATTACATCACTTTAGATGTTAACAGCTTGTATTTATAGCAAATCTCACAAACTGCATAACCTTAATCACATATAACTTTGCTTTACATAGTCTTTCATAATTAAGGTGTGGGCTTCATATATGAAAACTAAAATAAGGTATAAGTGTCTGGTTTTGGCTTAAAACTAAAAACCGCGCCAGTATGTTTCTGTTGAATCAGGTTCGAAAGCAGTCACGTGGTTATGTGCCGACCGAAGCTTCGGACGTCGTTGGTCACGTGTGTGTTTGGAACTTGGGCCAAGCATCAATGCAGCGAGGGAGTTGTTTTGTTTTTTTGTTTTTTTTGACATATGCTTCAGTATCAATAGTAACATCGGAGAGGTCATTAAGAGGTTTGGTAACAGCACTAGTTAGTTCTGTCCTTTTGTTCTGTATAATTGGTCTAAATGTCTGTGAGAGTCTGTAATGCTTTCAAAGAGATGATGTGAACAGTGGTGTCTGATCGGCTCCTCATCAGTCTGAATAAAATGTGGCAGCACAGCGCCATCTGGTGGCCATTACAGGCTAATGTACTTCATTATTTATTCTTTATTTGTAAATCATCTCTTTATTCATAAATACCGTGTTTTTAGCGTTCTTTAGCTATGTTAATGTTAAAAAGCTTTTCTTATTTATTACTAAACTACACTTAGATTGTATTTGTAGTAGTTTCTCGAGATTTAATCACCATGAAGCGTTCTGACGTGAACCCATGCACACATTTAATTCCATTTTCCAAGTATTGAAATCTGTAGATCCTGCCTTTCGCCCAATGACCGCTGGGATAGGCTCCAGCCTCCCCCGCGACCCAGAAGGATGAGCGGCTTAGAAAATGTGTGTGTGTGTGTGTGTGTGTGTGTGTGTGTGTGTGTGTGTGTGTGTGAGAGAGAGAGAAATCTGTAGAGTCCTATAACGCTACTATCAATTTTATATTACTTAAATATCTTCCAGTAACATTGTTTTTGTACCGATATAGTTTGGATAGGCTGTATAAACTACAAAACAAATTATATACACAATAGAGGCAAAATGTTAATTAAAATAAAAAAAAGTTTTAAAAAATTACACTTTGGGGGATACAGAAAATCACATTTAGGAGCTATATAATTTTTTTTATATTAATATTTTTTTAGGAGATTGAAGTATAAAATGAATTTGTCCCATCAAACCGTTAAGTTTAAGAGAGTTTTGTTGCTGTGGAAGGTTACGTGTGCTGGTTCAAAGTGGGGGCGGAGCTCCAAGAGTTCAGCCGCGCTGTGATTGGTTCACTGGCGCCCGGTGCACGCGCTCACTGACTCAAAGCTTCCAGCGGTTACACCTCAAACAGCCGACGAACTTCAGGCTACTACTTCGCGCTTCGAACAGCACTTTGTAAGTAGGTTAATTTACACCCATAAGGTTTAAACCAGGTGTAGGATGCCGTTTTGTTGTAGGTAAGGTTTGGTCGTAGTGAGTTGTGATACTGTCCTGCTTCACGAAGAGTTTAAAGGGGAAATACATTACCACAACAACAAGCTTCCTACTGATAAGGAACGCATTTAGGCCTGTGCCCTGTGTGCACTGCTATGATATGTATGCTCATGACTTTACTAGTCTGAAGGTGGTTAAAGTAATATCCTCTCATCCTTACAGTCTACAAACAAAAACTGAGTGCTCTCTTGTATTTCTACCCGTTTTCTGGGAGTTCTGAAAGTGATTGTCACTTTCTGTGTTCTGAAGAAGAACTAGTTAAGTAATGCGCATTACCTTTGGCTGACTGGCTGTCAGTCCCCACACCCGCCCCAGTCAAGAGAGGTGACATTCCTAGGAGTTGAATTTTTAACGGTGTTTGATCTTCTATGCATATTCAGATTTACCCAAACAAGCAGAGTTTACTGAGTTTGATCGCCACGATTAAATAGTCTGGACTTTAGAGATTGGCAATAGTTATCAAACTGAAAACTGAAACTAAATGCCTGTTAATGATTCAGCCCACAGGCTGTCAAAAGAGGAAATAAGGAGGAGTGTGGCAGTCCCTTCGGTCTGTTACATCTCTATAACCTACGACCCTTGCATGAGCAGCACAAGCAAGCACATGCATTAACAAGCAAGAAGATCAGAGAAGTTCTCTGTGCTGAATAGAAAACCTGAGTCAGTACATTGCCATCGTACAGATGTTTTGACATGTTCATACGTTGTTGTTCTGAGAGTCTGTTCCACTGTTTTGTAGATATTTCCAAACATGGAAATGCCCCTGAATTTAGTCTTTACCATATGTCTGTTAAACTGGTTGTATTTTTCTCTTTTCCTTTCAATGTGTTCTTGTAGAGGCCATGTCTGACATGGAGAATGGTAGCACAAAAGCAGATGGAGGTGACAGTGTGGATGCCAAAGGATTTGAACCTAAAGGGTAAATTATTTTTTTTTAATGCTTTAAATGCTGTATAATACTTATAAAATGTGAGTGAGATGAACTAAAATGTATTATGGGATTATTGCCACTTCCTATTGCACCTGGCTTTGATATCCAGGAGAAAACTAGACAAGTCGCACAACCGAACTGAGAAGGAGGAAACTTAGTATTTATGGGAAGGGACAGATTATCTACACAATAAAAAACTATAAATGACTTGTGGAAGCAACTTTCTAGAAGTTGTGGGCAACATCACCAGTTGTATTTCCTCCCATTAAAGAGGAATTCCACCAGTTCTTCAATATTTCAGGACGAACTGGTTGTTGAGAAGTAAACAAACTCCTATAGAATATTTCAAAGAAAAATGTCCCTTTGCAGAACAAAATACCCACTTGGTTTTCTTTACGGTGTTAGTGATAAGAACCAGGGGTCAGGATATCTTTTGCACCGGAAAGATTTGGTTCACCATTTGGTTTTCTATCTAAACAAGCAGTGAAGCTACACATGTCTTCTGAGTTTTTATATTGAGTGTAGATAATGCTAAATTGTGGTAAATCAGTTTTCTTTGAGTTCTATTGCTCCTTTTAGCAACCTGCATGTATCAGGGGAGACCTTAGGAAACATAATCATGTTTTGTAATAACATTTTGTGAGGTAGACTTTAGGGGCTTTAAACACTTTGGACCCCAGATTTCATTCCATTTAGTACCAGTCTGACTTGGTAAGTCTTTCTATAGTGGTGTGTTTTTCATCAAAACAATCTGAACAGCTTGTTTACTTCTCTTTTAAACAGTAGTTGGAATTCCCTTTAATTCTGTTCAGCAGTGCTGCTACAAATTGCATCAAAATTTCTAACATCTATCCACACTTTGTTTAGGTCTCGCAGCGGACCTGTTCATGCAAAAGACAAAGAGCTTCCTGACGTGTACAGGTACCGAACGGACTACCCTAAACTTGGGAAATGTATCATCATCAACAACAAGAATTTTAACCCTGGAACAGGTAAGAACTAAATCAGACAAGAATTGTCACTTCTTGGTCTCTGAGATCATTGACTCTCAAAGAGAATGTTAATTTTTTCATTTTTATTCTCCTTGAAAGGGATGGGAGACCGGGCTGGAACAGATGTGGATGCAGCAAAAGTGGTGAAAGTCTTCAGAGAGCTGGGTTTCAGTACTTCAGTCCAAACCAATCGAACTGTTTCACAAATGAAGGAGATTTTAACATCAGGTTTTATGGAGTGTTCTTGCACATTTATATTACTTGACATATTTATTACCCATAAGTGAATTAAAGCTGAAGTGAAAGATGACCCCATAGTGATTTTTATCACTGTGTTAGCTATTACATTCTGTTTTGTCAGGTGCTTATATAAATGCTCCAGCTGTTCACTGCTATAGGAAACTGTTTGTAGATTAGTGCATGTCCTTTTACCCTCAGCATCCAAGGAGGACCACAGCCAGTCAGCCATGTTTGTCTGTGTGCTGCTGAGTCATGGGGATGAAGGAGTGATCTATGGCACTGATGGATGCATGGAGCTGAAGGAGCTAACGAGACTCTTCAGAGGAAACCAGTGTAAATCTCTAGCTGGCAAACCTAAACTCTTCTTCATACAGGTCTGATTCAAAATGATTACATGATTTACAGATTTTAAACATCACTTTAATTACCTGTCTTTTCAAGAAATATATCCTCACCTTAATTCATTATCACAGCAAACATAGACACATTGGCCTGTTGTCAAAAAGCATATGCATTTCTCATTTGCACCTAGTTTATGTAGTCGTGATTGTTCTTCTTTTCTTTGCTTCTTTCCTCCTTTCAAGTAATAAAGGGGGACTGTACATGGGACCTTTAGGTCAAATGTCTAGGTCAAAAAGCAACTGTACATTTTTCTGCACAAGAGAAAATACTTTTGACAGATTAAATCAACTCAGCAATTTAGGTTTAAAGGTCTAAGGCAATATATTTTAGAATGTTCGTGTAAATGAGTTAGAAGAGTAGCAGTTCCAGAAGCAGCATTTGGAGATTGCTGTTTTGAGCATGACATGTATCTGCATTTGGACTAGTGTCCCAACATTTGTAGTACTCTAAATTTATTGAATTCAGTGTTGTTTGTTCCAGTGTATTTAGATTAAACACTTTGAAATTAGAAAAGATCAGTTAATGTGCATTATTAAGGTTTTACCCCTTGGACTACAGCAATGTGCTTTGACATGTTGAAACCAGTCTGCTTTTTTCCCTCCAATTTCCTCTGCCTTTTGTCACCAGTTTGTTCATAAGGTGACAGATTGTAACACCTCTATAGTAAACTTGCTGACCTATGAATTATGTGTATTGAATTAAGGCGTGTCGTGGAACAGAGTTGGACCCTGGCATCGAGACTGACAGTAGTCCTGATTCAGAGAGCACACACAAGATTCCTGTTGAAGCAGATTTCTTGTATGCGTACTCCACTGCCCCAGGTAGGAATCTGTTTTATGTCAGAATCTATATCATCACTAACACAAGAAAAAAATGTATTCTTAACTTCTATTAAAGGGCACATATTCTATATTTTTTTTCTTGTATTTTTTTTCTCTGAGATCCACTTGTGATGCTTTTTTGGGTTTGTGTATCAAAAACATTCAAAATTTCTTTTTATGTGACCTATTCCCATCCTCTTTCTATCCCTTAGAATTAAAAGGTTGCTTTTTGTTACTATGTCTTTAAAACTGATATATTTAAATGACCTCTGTTACGATGCCATGTAGGCTTTAATTGACTCTTTAGGTTCGGAATTATCAGTTGATGACATTCGAGAAAGTAATAATTTCTCTGTCTCATCAAACCTTGTGCTAACACTCAGCAAACATGGGCTTCTCTAAGCAGCTGGCTGAGGACCTGGAAATTAATCTAATTGATGTTTACAATGCTACAAAAAAGATCAAAGCTCTTCCAGCTTGTCCACTGTTCAAATTTATGTAATTAAGAAATGGTAGTTGCGGAAAATTGTGGAAGACCGGGAAAATAGATAATGAGATAATCAGAGATAATTGTTTGTATCTCATATACTGTCCAGAAAGGCAAAGCAAAGCCCCATATGACAGCAAAGGACCTGCAGATATGTTTAGCTGATGTGGGAGTTGTGGTGCAGGGTTCTGCTGTGCAGTGTTGCTTGCACAAACGTGATCTACATGGAAGAGGCATCAGAAGGGAACCTTACCTGCAGCCTCATAAGAGTCGATGTATAAAGTGCCAAATTTGAAAACAAGTACTGTGGACTCATGAAGTAAAAATGGTACTCTTTGGCCACAGTCATCAAATATAAATTTGAAGAAAAAAGAAACAGCATGTGATGAAAAGGACACCTTGTCAATTGTTTGAATGGGGGTGGATCTCTTAGGCTTTAGGATTGTGTGGCAGCCAGAAAACACTGCGCAGGTATGTGGTGGAATGGATTCTAGAGGCAAATGTGACTTAGTCAGTCAAGAAACTGAAGCATCACTGAAAATCTGTGGCTAGATCTTAAGCATGCAAGACGGCCCAAAAATATCCTAGAGTTAGTGGCATTCTTTATGAAAGAGTGGGTGAAAATGCTTAACACTAATAAATAGGGGTGCGGTAAAAAATCGATTCTTAGATGCATCGCGATGCGGACGTGAGCGATTCTGAATCAATTCACAAATGTCAAAAATCGATTTTCTAAATATTTAATTTATAACGTAATGTTGACGCAACGCAAAAGGCGGAACTTGGAAGTGGGTAAGTGCAGCGCCCGGACAGTCTGTGGCGGCACATAACAAAAACACTACTGGATAAGCGAGAAATCCGACCGGCTCCCTCTGCATTAAAAGCCAGGTTAGATCAGGAGTCACAACCCAAATGTTAACATTTTGTCCTTTCAACAAAAATCAAACCACCTTGGGAGCCGCAACATTTAATGTCCAGTATGTCTCAGTGTGTGCTGATGTTCTAGTATAGGCCAAACAATATAAACGAAAACACAGATTTACTTCGCTCTGCTTTAAGCTTTAGCTCAGCTATTGCCGCCTTTCTCCCGTCTCCGCCAGAAAAAAGTCCTCAGAAGTAGATCAGTTTCTTGTTAAAAGTCTCTCAACGTTCGACTGTTTTACGAGGCTGAAGTCGCTTCTTGTTCTCCAGTTTCTTGTTCGAATTTACCTGTTCCACCTTAAATTCTAACTGAGGCGCCGAATGTGAATGCAGCACCATTTAAGGTGGAACGGGAGAATTCAAAAGAGAAGCGACTTCAGCTTTGCCACTTTTTAGTGTTTGACAGTCTCTCGTTGAAGATTTAATGTACCAGGAAACCAACTGCACTGCTTATAAATGCGAATAACGCATCGCTGCTGTGTGACCTGCAGTCTGCACGCCGGTTCTCAGTCGTTGCGAAACAGGGCTTTCGCGCTATGTTGCACACACCCCGTCTCAAAGATATTTTACTGACACAGCGATACACCCCGTACCACCCCCACGAGACCAAAACCGAAGTTAGAAAATCACTAAAGAAAACGGGTAGAATAGCTGTAACGTGCTGCGTGGTCATCTATTGCCACTGGATCTTATTTCACCGTAACTGCGCATTTTATCGCAGATGAGTAGCAGCAGTTTCTCGTGCTCCAAACGAGCAGTGAATGAGAGTCATCTAGTTCACTTGCCACATCACTTCCATTTGTTTTATTAAAAAAATATTGGAAGGAAATTCATTATGGATCATTACAAACACTTTGCTTTAAAAGTACCAAGTCACTTTTAATAACAACACTGAGTCACTTAGTCACTTTAAAATGTATATTGTCTCTATATTTTGTGTATATTTAATATATTTCAGGTATATTGTTTTTTCTTGTATTTTTATTTTTACTTTCTGTAGAGTGATTAGCTGAGCCTCAACTCAAGCATTTCAATGCATAAATGTCCTGACTTGTGCAAATGACAAATAAACTTGAAACTTGAGCTCACACAGTGAGAAAATAGAAATCCTGTATAGAAAAAAAGATGCATTGAGATGCATCGATAATCGTTTTATAATCGCGTCACAGCCCTCTGAATCGTAATCGAATCGAATCGTGAGGTGCCTAGAGATTCCCACCCCTACTAATAAAGAAACTCAATCTGCCACAGGGGGAGTTACTAAGTACTGACTTGGTGTCTTATGCACATGCCTTAGGTGCTATTTTATGTTTTTTCTATTGTGTAAGTTAATCAAATAGAAAATAACTGTGCATTAACGTTTGCAGAAAATGTTATTTTAAAAAATAATTTGCTTCAGAGCTTGTGTTTACTTCCTTTCACTTCAAAAATTAGCAAAATATATAATTTGTCCAGGTGTGCCCTAGCTTTTGCATACAACTGTATGTGGTTGATTTTGTGTGTCTGCATGTTTGTGCATACACATTAGTGCACACGTGTCCAGTCCTTCATTTCTGTATACGTATCTCCTTTCACACAGGTTATTATGCTTGGAGAAACACAGCCAACGGGTCATGGTTCATATCCTCCCTGTGTGAGACACTGGAACAATATGGCAGAGAACTGGAGATCATGCAGATCATGACACGTGTGAACCGCAAGGTGGCGCTGGAATTCCAGTCTTCTTCCAACCTGCCAGGATTTGACGCTATGAAACAAATACCATGCATTATGTCCATGCTGACCAAAGAGCTGTACTTTACAAAGTGATTAAGTTTCAAAACAAATTAAATTAGATCTAGGAGGGAGTATTATTATTAAAAAAAAAAAAAGACAGAAGTTTAGTTGGCACACACTACACAGTGGCCTTTAACAGGGGCCAGCAATGGCAATCCAAACAATGAGCACAACAGTAACACAGGCACTTTTTTACAACTGTTTACTATATCCACAGTCAACAGAAGGAGAATCCGTGTGGTGAATTCAAACTTTAACTAGATTGTGTCTCTGATTCTGCTCTAAAATGTGTCACATATCTAATGTTGCTGTGAAACGTAAGATCTCCAGTCTTATATTTTCTTATATGAACTCAGGGTCCTTGAATAAACCTCTTTAGAAACATACTTGTTTATTTCTTATTGCTCACTTTATGACTTTACTGTCTTTGCATGTCACTATGCCAAGTTAAGCAAGCATGTGTTTCTCAGTCATGACTACAACAACAGAGTCATGTTTCTATTTGAATGTATAAGAAAAACAGGCAAGAGATTGTGAAATGATGCAGTTACACCATGATTACATTAAAAGTTTATTTTTTTAGTGGCACAGTCCTCAAATGTATTAGTAGAGCTCCATAAGGTAAACATGCCTCCTGCTGTGAGAGTACACAATTTCCAAAGATCCGTTTCTGTGCAGAACAGAAAGCAGAACCACCAACACGTCACTTTAAACAGTTTCATTTCCATTTCTTTCAGCAAGCATCAACTTGGACTATCTTGTGCAATCTATTCAAAACAATGAGGCACAAACAGTAGTACAGTCTAACAGTAAATGGTGCCGCATAGGGAAATGCTTTCCAAACATGTTGTGACTTTTTTACTTGTTCACTCAGCTCAGTAGTGTTTGTATGCACCTTGTTAAAATTGTGTTCAGACTCTGCTGTCAAGAATTGACTGCAGTGCACCGTAAACAGGGAGTTGTTGGGTGTGACCCTGTAGATAAGACTTGAGTAAATGTGTGCTGCAAGACAAGTCTAATTAGGCTGTTGGGGTCATATGGCAATAATGTATGTAGTATGATTGAATGATAAGTTCTAGCAAGAGCTGTTACTTACAACAGCTGCACTGTAGATGTGAGTGTTTGGAAATGTAACATTGGTGCAGTTACAAAGGGGTGACTATAATATATATATATATATATATATATATATATATATATATATATATATATATATATATGTATTTTAATGTTGGCTTTGTTACTGTCCTTGATCAAGCAGACTATTGCCACCATAATATCATTGCACTGGAATTATAAATACACACAGAAAGGTGATGAAAGAGTTAGTAAAACTGCTACAGTAATGACCAGAATGAACCAGAATGGACTAAGAAATGCACCTCTGTACCTCAATTAATTAACCAACCAACTAGCAGATCAATAATTAAAAAAAATCTACCCCACACTAGTTTTTGTCAGTAAACCATGTAAGAGCAAGGAAGAAAGTCTACATCTTTGCCGCAAAAATTCTGATGAGGTCAACTCATTTTCTTGTGAACTGAGTTTCTATTCCTGCTGTCTCTCGCTTTAAGAAGATGTAAAGAACCACAGGGAAGTGAAAACGAAATTGAGCGTTATATTTTTTCCCCACCCGTATTCCGACAAATCCCGCCTCAGGCTCGGCTTGAGTATGAATTTCTAACCAATCGTAGCGCAGAACGCGGGACACTCCAGCCAATCGTAGCACAGGAATCGCAATACAGGCGTGCAGTAGCGCGCCCTCTAGCTACGTGTAATAGGAAGTTCGATTCAGTTTACCGAACCGATTCTTACGAATTGTCTGATTCAATGCGTATGATGTCTGATTCATTGATTCACAAGTCAAGTCCCCATTATTCTTATCAGCCCCGTATGCAATTACATTTAATTCAGCTAATGCGCCGCTGCTTCTGCTCACATACGTAAACTTTGCATAGACGTTGCTGCAAAAAGAGTCAAAGTTTCACGTCAGAACCGGTTAGACCGATTTATTGAAAAGAACCGGCTCACAAGAACGATTCGTTCACGAGTCGCTACTGGCCACAGCGCGAGAGCGGAGAGCTCGAGACGGGAGGGGATTTCCACCGAACACTGTTTCCTTTACTTGTTTTGCTTTCGATCTGGATACCGAAGTCGGTTTAATTTTAAGTTTCCCTTTTTGTTATCGACGCTTACGAATTAAAAGACAGGCTGTTCGCATCCTCGGCGACATTATTTACACATAACCGAGCCCGAATTTCTACACATTGCACAGGTAAAGACATTTCCGCATTTCTTATTTATGGCTTGACTATTCTTTAGCCTGTGTAGCAGCCGTGCTGTGGATAAGCACAAAAACGAAAGTACCAGTGTTTTCATCCAGTCGGGATCTGGGAATGTTTATTTTCACTTTTGAAATGACTTGACACTCTGTGGTGGTTGGTGGACGATGAAGCTGAAGTTTGGGAGCAGTTGACAGGTCGTAGCCAGAGCGACTTGACTTGACCAGAGAGAGAGAGAGTGAGTGAGAGAGAGAGAGTTGCTACATCAATCGCCATTTACAGTGCGGTGAGAATGCTAGTAACGGACGACAGCGTAAGTCTCAACGGCTTTTTCATATCTGCAGACTAGAGTGGACTGAAACAGCTGTCTTGTTTGTGGTATTGTGGAGGCTATAACTTTTATCAGTTTATCTTGACTCTCTCTCTCTCTCTCTCTCTCTCTCTCTCTCTCTCTCTCTCTCTCTCTCAATCACACACGAGTTGCTGAGTTGGAGGTAAACCTTAGAGTGCTTATAAGGCTGTTCTTGTATCTACTGTACTTACAAAGCGATGGCTGTGCATTTCTAATCTTTATTATTTTGAAAATGTAAAATTCTGATGTCATGTGACTTCTTACTTTGTATTGTAGTTTATACTTTTCCTCTTAGTTATTTCTGTGCACCAGTGCTTGATCTTGTCAATTAGTAACCTGTCTGTATATTTGGGATCTCGACTGTGCAGCGTTTTACAACTTAAGTGAGGGACATTTTGGTCACAGACGCAGTTTCGGGCTTATTTAGGCCTACATGGAGCTCGGAAGACAAGAGCTTTGAAAGGAGGAGCAGGAGGTCAAAGCCAAAGAGCAGAAGCTCAACCCTCTCAGTTTAAGCCGTGCTCTTCTCCCCATATAATTTCAGATCAGTAGCTTATCACCGTGGCCAGAGGGAAACTTTAGTGTAAAAATGCAGTGTTTAGTTTGGCTGCTCAGATGATTTATGCCTACATTCTGTAACATGAACTCATATCGTATGATAGCACAAGACATCTGGGGACCAATGTGTGGGTTTAGTAAAATGTACTGAATGTCACTTTCTTGTTTAGAGGTAAACAGTCTCTCATTGAACACCTAAGGCCCTGTATGTGGATCCACACTTCAGTTACTCTATTAACTATGTAACAAACATGTTAGTTTAATAGTAGTTACCAAATAATTCATTATAGTTACTATACACACAAAGTAAGAAGTCTTAAGATTAATACATGGATAATATGCTTAGTGTTTGTGTGGTTAAAATATAATTGTAGAGGTTATTTATACTGTATTTAATTACATGATTGCATAAACTAGTTCAATGATTCCTATGTAATTTATCTCAAATTAGTAAAATCAACCACTTAGTTAAAAAAAAAATACACTGATTAAGATAGGAGGTATATGTTTTTGCTTTGAACATAAGGTAGGTCTACCAGTTGTAAACATTATACCTGAATCACTAACCATGTTTTGTTTGTTTCGTGCCTTGCCAAAAAAAAGAGCAAATGAAAAAGACTGGTCATGCAGGTTCAAACTGAAGTTTAGCCTGCTTCATCAACAACGACAGATGCTGGCAAATCACAGGAAGATATTCATTAGAGCACTAACTTGAAACATCCGACTTACTCCTGCAGTCCTACATAACCATTTTTAATTGCTAAATTGAGTTTACATAGTTCTCAAATGAAAGTATAATGACAAGCATGAAATGCTGATACTTAGTCAGTTAAATTGAATATAATGTTACTGAATGTTGACTATATTATCCTTATATAAATTGCTATGTATGTAGAAGTAAAGAAATCTTAATATTTTGTTGACACATTGCTCAGTTTTGAGTATGATTGGGAGTTATGCTTTGGTGAGAGAAGCACACAGATCTGTTTATTTCAGCCATAACAGACACACACTGCTGCAAGATCTCATCACTGTCCAAAAATACACACACATATATATATATATATATATATATATATACAAGAAATTGAATGTAAGTGAATGTAAAGAGATTTTATTTTAAGCAATTTTGGATTTCACAATGACATTTTCTCATAAAGGACAGCTGATGTGTTCAAATGATATAGAAAAATTAAGTCATCAAAAAAGGAGATACATGTGTTTTTTTGTGTTTTTTTTTATCCAGCGAAGGTATACAAGCTTCATTCATGCTGGATAGCTCTTCAGAGCTGTTCTAGGGAGCACTGGCTTAGTGGTTGTTACTCATTTTACTTTAGCCAGACATTAAGTCAGATATTACTGTTTCTGTTTGAGGACATACGTGCACTATGCAAGCTGGAAACTCAGAGTCAAGGCAGTAGTTTTAAATATTTGGATAAAACAGTCATCTGGTTTATAGTTGGGAATTTGCCAGAATAGGATCAATATTCCAAAATAGCTTCATAGGTTAAACTAACTAGTGCATGTGGGATCTTTTTTCAGCTGTGTTTTTTTCTGTGCATAATAAAATAAGGTAAACCTGTAGTCGAGCTAATGCTATCTGAGAATGACACAGTCCAGACTCTTTGTCTATGTCTTTCTTACTCTCTCTCTCTCTCTCTCTCTCTCTCTCCATTTCTCTCCCCTTAGGCCACTATGCCCGTGGAGAGAATGCGTATGCGGCCATGGCTTGAGGAACAAATAAACTCATGTAAAATACCAGGGTTGAAATGGGTCAACAGGGTAGGTACACTGAAGTTTCTTTCAAATGAGGACAAGAAAGGATACATGACAATATCTAAATCATGTCGGTATTGGCAGGCATTTGCTTAAAAAATAGGACAGATGTTTACATTTGACCGATATTTCAAAATGATTTTGATGGCATATTTACTGAACTCAGAAAGAGCAGACCCTTTAGACAGGGCTGGACTACTGTGCTAAAATATCTGCTTTTTATTAATTTTCCTGCATTTTCTCCTATTTTTTACATTTGTGCATGATGCCAAATGTTATGCATCAGCTATACAGATATATACATAAAAAAATAACAGATATTGGCATCAGTTGACATATCAAGCAAGATGAAATGAGATTCAGAGAGACACATTTCTGTGCTCTGTCTGTGGTGTAAATACACTGTTTCCAAAAACAT